TATAACAACCAGCATTAACCGAAACATGCATGGTTGATTCCATACTTTTCCTATCATTTTCCCTGTCATTGTCTCATCTGAATCTGTTTTCTATGTGGAGATGACGTACAAAGAATTTCAGTTTTTTTTCAAAAACACAAAGGAAGTGAGTCTAGTGACGTTGCTGTCACTTTCAGAGGTTGATTGATCACTTCTAGATAGGTCTGGCTTGGGCCGTACTCAAGACATCATTGAACAGTTACAAGTAGCCACTAGCCACTAAATCGCCTAAATCCACGAAGTTGCCCTACCCAGGAGCTGCGCAAAGAAGGTTCACTGCACGACGGGAAGGACGAGAACTGGTCTGAACCACCCAGGTGCCGCAGCGTTGGACCGGACCAATGTGGTCCCAAAGGCATGAGATCATGAAAAACATCAGGTATATAGATGGATCAAGCCATATAGATGGATAATATGCCATTTATATCCATGATAGCCATATAGACACATGTTTTTATCCATATTTTTATTGTTCATGTTTTTTTTCCAGGCATCGCAACTGGGGTAGAAACATACGTCATTTTCAGACACAGCCAGATGGGAGTTGGTTTTTTTCCGCTGCGGCTGGAGATGGTCCCCCAGCTTGGCGCGCCGTTCAGCAAAGCCAAGTGAACGGGAGATTACCCTCTGGTAAACTAACATAGCTACTGAAAATGGTGATTTATAGTGGATTTACCCATTGAAAATGGTGATTTTCCATAGTTATGTTAAATTACCAGAGGGTAGTTTGATTCATTCATTGCTAGGTTAATCTTAGATGGATACTTTAATCCTTTAGTCTTTTGGTATCAATGGGAATATCTACTAACCAGCAAAGAAATTGTTTTTTTGCAGGGTTGGATTAGCAATGATTGTGAAGTTTTTTTTTGTTTTCCAATTTTCACTTCTAAACGACTAAACGCAATCTTTGGCATATATATATATTATTATATATATATATTGTTTTTTATGATTTTCTCCAAAAAGGTCAACTTTTCTCACCCATAGGATCCATGGTGCTGCTATGTATGGTGCTCCATGGATCCCACCAATATACCCCCAATCAATGTTAGCATTAATCTACCAGCACCATGGATCCGTCATGGGTACTACATAAATTATATAGATAGTAAATATGTAAAATATATGTAAATAATCCAACTATCATTGGTACTATCATGGATCCGTCATGGGTCATGTTTTGTTTCCACTTCTCATGTCGCAATTCGACATGGCCGACTTAGGCTGCTGGAGGTGCAGGTCATAGCCCTCTTCAGTTCTCGGGCAGCGCCGCCCAATGAGGATGGGGGGACTGGTTTTTTGAACGGGATTCCACGGGATTCCATGACGATTTCATGGGGATTTATATATGGGATTTATATGGGATTTCTATGGGATTTATATGGGATTTACATGGGATGTATATGGGATGTCCTTGGATTTTTTCTAGGGTATTTGTTTTGAGGATATTCAATGGGGAGTCCATGAAATTATGGGGATTGAACCAACAAACATAGGGATTGGTGCCAAACGCAGGGAATTTTCGGGAATGATCCACAATACTCGTAGCTATCAATAATCATTCCATTCCTCAATTCCCATCCATTCCCTACGTTTAGCACCAGTAAGTAATATTCTATAGTTCTATGATGGAATAAAGTAGGAACAACAACATCAATGGATGGAGGCGATCAAACGTTGAATTGGGGGCCAAACATCACCATATACGGCTGCTACAGTGTGGAACTACGGTGCATAATTTAATATACTTGGAAACGGCAGATCAAAATCCCCCATAAAAATCTGCATTAATGGATTATGTATCTTTCAAGGGCCGGAAAATTATTGGATATATACTGGATCTATGGTATTTTTCATTGTGTATACATGTGTAATACCATGGTATTACAGTGTATATATTCATCGGATCTACGTAATCCCATACGTCCATATGATTTGGGAATAAACAGATCCCCAATCAGATTCCAATTCATTTTTCCAGGATGTCTTGGAAGCAACTTAGAAGAGACTCCATGCTAAAGAGTCCATGATTTGAGGAAATGTCGGAAACTGGGTGCATCCTTCGATGATTGAATCTGGGAATGGAAAACTGTCTGGTCATATCCATTGATATCCATTTATATCCAGGTTTATGATTGTTATTTTCCAATTATATAAACATCTTTGTTTTCTATTGCTATGTTTGATTCCCAGAGGCTAATGGAGATATCAAACCGTCCAGTGTGCCAGACTGAACCACAGGACAGCGCACTTTCAGCGTTGGTTCTGACTCCCTTGATCAAGGTGGGACTGCCGTGTTCTTTGGGGATGAAATTAGGAACCACTTCTTTGATCAGGATAAATCTGTAAGTGGGGATGGGTCAAAACCTTTCGTATACCAGATTTCCGGGAATCAACATTCATTCACCAGCCTTTTTTGGGTACACAGGGACTCATAGCCGTATAAATACATATAAGTCAACAAGATCATGAAACATGTGTAAAAGACTTTGGATTCGATATTGCTTTGATTCGGGATCAAAATCGTTGTCAAAAGCGTCCGAAGCTCATGCAAGTCTGTTGCTCGGTAAAAAATAGAGTACCGGAAGAATGCATCTTCACATGTCCCCATTTTCTCAAGAGTTTGTTGATTGTTTCCCGCCCTGTTCATGTTTCCCATTGCTTCCCCACTTTGGCGCTTAACAGCTTCCCACAGTGGCCGCTTCAATCTCCATCTGGACCCAAAACATGCTGTTCCAAAATGGACGGTTTTATAGTGGTCATTTTCATAGGGCTAAAACATAACTTGACAAACCATGGGAAATTCGGGGGTTTCCATGGGTTTTCCCATCATTCTTCAGCCTTGGCGCCGGCAACATGGCGCCGTAGGTGCATGAAGAGTATCAGTACAAGGGCTCCAAGGAACCACGACGCACCATTCGTCTCTTGAAGTCGCCTTGGCTGCGACATTTGGGGTGTGATACAAGGGAATGGGGTTCCAAGTCAAGCATGCGCCCAGTTAGCTAAGTCGGTTTATAACATTTTATAACCAGTATAACTATAATTATACGTATAACTCTAGTTTAGTATACCTCGAAGTATAGCCGATGGGGCTTAGAAACCAACTTATTGGAGGTCACCTTTTGTCGTTTCTTCACCAAGCATGGCAATGCGATGTCAAGAGTTGGTCTGTTCTGGCTCCATCCTTGAAATTTTCCAGGGGTAAGGTAGCATGTGTTCTTAAACCCATGTCCATGTCCCTAGTTTTCCCGAAAAAGTGTTGGTTTCTGGAGCACTTTAAGCATTTGCAAACACTATCTGACCTCGAAATTCGCGCCCTTCAACGACCCAAACAATGGTTTCCCATCAGCTCTGCCCAAGCAGTTGCCATGCTCCGAGGTGGGAATTTGAACAACGAATTTCCCAAGACGGCGGGCCTAGAGACTGGGCAGGGAACGGATGGCAAATCTGCAGCCTCGAGAAGAGGTGGTTCCTGAGCAGTTGAGCGAAGGCTGATATGGGGGATATGGGGTTCTTCAAATGGGGGACCCCTTCAAAGCTGGTTGGTGGTTTCAAACATTGTATATTTTCCATAATATATGGGATAATCCTTCCCATTGACCAATATTTTTCAAGATGGTTAAAACCACCAACCAGAAAGTCGTGCAAAACTTTGACTGGAAAACTGATGGCTTTGAGGCCTTGTTTTTGTTTAATGGGAAACCTCCATTTGACTCAAAGGTGTCACGGTTGGAAAAACGGCTCTTTGGACCTAGAATAGCCTGGAATCGTAGGGTATTATAATGCCCTATGCACTGTAGCTGAATACCATCTGGTAATTATACACATATAATCACATATATATATATATGTATATATAAGCTATGGAAGCCATGGCCCATCTAGTTTGATGATTTACATATTAAAACTGGCGATTTTCCATAGCTATGTTAAATTACCAGAGGGGAAATTTCTTGTTTGTTTTTTTGTTAAAGGGGTTTTGAAATCCACACTCGCCAGGACATCTTTGTTTTCTAGACTGTAAGTCAACTTGCCACGTTCCCCCCTTTTGAGTACCTAGCTCAAGCTTCATGCGTGGGCACCTGTTGCCACCTTAGTACCCAGGTACAATATGTTTGATCATATCCAGACGGATAGACAGAGTTAACTGCAACGGACTTGGTCTGAGAGATGGTTCAATCCTTTTCAATATAATTCCATATAATTTTCCAATGATTTTAATATATTTTAATATCAATGTATTCCACTGTTTGTAACTCCCAGGTTTCTTCAAAAACTTTGAGTGAAGCAGCACCAGACGCGAATACGCCTGACCGGACACCGCAAAAGCCGGGAAAAACAAAAAAAACGACACGATGACCTTGGCCTTGGCTTTGTGAGGTAAGATGAACAACAATGAGGATTTGACCAAGCAGATATGATGGGAAATATCATGGGGATATGATGGGGATATTTCATGGGATATTGGATGAGATCTACACTCTACACGCAACAATATATGATATTTCCGGTGTGCCCGGAAATGGTAGTTTGAATGATACATGATAATCAATGATAGGTTTCTCAAGATGTGATGGTTTGCATAGCTGATAGCGATCTCACCCGAAGTGATGATGAGTATTGCAAGGGAAATCATCCAAAGTATGGATCGATCATTGACGTATTGTGGTTCGTGGAGATGCTCCCAACATGGGGATTGTTAAAATCTGCTATATACCATATGTATACAGTATAATATATATATATATGATATATATATATGATATATATATATATCGTATATTATATCCTGTATATTAGATCCTGTATATTTTAGATATAGATATATTATATATGTATATGTATGTGATACATACATACATACATACATACATACATACATACATACATTATGGATGATACAGATATGAAATATACGGATTATACCACCAGCTGGGTCTATCTTCGTCTTGGAGCCTGAGGCCTGACCTGCCTAGAGTTCTGCGCCAAGAGCCAGATGCTGCTGAGCGCGGGCTTTGACAACTACATCTCCATTTGGGATCCCAGTGTCCGGCTGCCAAGGATCGCATGCCATCACTGGGGAGTCACTTGTGAGTGAAATTGGGGTCTAATGGATATATATATATATATATCATAACTATACATAACTATATACTGTAACTATAGCGTATGAAGACTACTTATTGACTTTATAACACGATACAACTATATAACTATTTAATTATTGTTGACGAATGTGAATTTGCTTAGCAGCACATGAGGGTCACAGTTCCGATCCCAACATCCTGTGATTTTCCAATGATCAAGGCTGTGAAGATGACGGATTTGGCTTCGTTGCCATGAGTACCTATGGTAGCAGCTATTTTGATCTTTGGATTAGTCTAAGTCTGTTTGGGAAGACCGACAGGACTCTGTTTATGAAATGTAAAAATGATGGGACACATGATGGTTTTGATGGCAAACTTTCAGAAATTTCCCTTTAAATCATCCCAAGTAGAACAAGGCTGGGACTCTTTCCTTCAAATTGCCTGGCATCTCAGTCTGGGCTGGGATGTTGCGTTGTGGTAGGATGTGGCAAGAGCTCCAGAGCTGTGCCGGAATTGAACACCACAAATGTTATATCACATATATATATATACATGTGTATATATATATATAGATGTGATGTGCTTCGATTATGTTTACCAGGGTAGTGAAGATTAATGTTTTTGTTTTTTTACAGAATCATCATCGATCTTCTGTAAGTTTCTTAGGTTGGTTTGTGTTTTGATATCTGCAGCGGGCATGTCTTTTCCAGTTTGGGAATTCAGCAAAACCCACCAGCCTGAGAAATGTGTAGGTTTGTTTGCAGGCAAAAAGGCTTGGCGGATACCAAAGTTGTTGCGAGATACTAAAGGCATTCATGCCACCCACCAAAAATGCAAGTGACAAGTGGTTATTATCTCATCTTCCAATGTGTTTTTCTAAGTCGGCAGCTGGTTTCTGATGGACATATCTGTTTTTTTCGACGTCCGTCCCGGTGCACCACGCCGCAGGGAGGGACACGAGTGCAGCATTGCGGGGCTTTGCGCCATGCCGGAAACAGACTATGAATTTATGAGTGCCTCGATGGAAATGGTGCGCCAGGCCACATGAAATGGCGTTGATGTGACGGGACGACTGAAGCACATGCACGTGGGTACTGGCAGTTACACTTATTGAATATAGTCAACGACAACGATATATGACTTATCCCCATCAGATCCCATTGTGGTCAATAGTCCCATTCTAGTTGGTCCAATCCACCATTTGTGATGCTTGAACCTCCCAAATCTGTTAGTTGAAACATGTTGGAACCCCAACCTCCCGCGGTTGAACCAACACTCACAAACAAATCAATTTATCTAAGTTATACTACTACCAATATTTTAGGGTCCGGGTCAAAATGACCATCACCCCTCGAAATGCATATGGCGCTCCCCCCAATAACGAAGTTGGCCCGGGTCGGCGGAAATTGCAGATCCATGCCGATATCCCTGTAGCAATCTCAGCAGCTACCAGCATCTACCAGCCTTCTCTTTCCGGGCCCCTTAAGGTGTCGACTTTGAAGGCATGGTACGTCTCTGGGACGTGCGTCGGGGAGCCAAAAAGGCTTTGGCCCAGTGAATTGACTGTAGAGTGATGACAATTCGTGGAATCAAGCATGGGCATTTGATATAATTTAATGGATTTTAATGGGATATTCATAATTAGGATTTCCTCAATATGATGGGATTAATGTGAAACTATTAATATGTTACAGTATTAATATTGGCTCTTGGGGTGCCAGGAATTTGTTCTCCAGCTAGCTCTGGTTTTTAACTTGGAGAAGCCTGGTGGCTCTTCATCAGGGGAGATTAGGCTTTGGATCAAAACCCGCTTCCCATGTGAACATGAAGATAACCAGCAAACTGATGTTCATCCCTCCAAGACTCCAAGGTGTCTCAAAAGATTGTATCATATTGCCCATAGGATCCATGTATGCTATATATGGTAACATTGAGGGTATATTGATGGTAAATGTTACCATATATAGCATACATGGATCCTATGGGTATTGTATCACAGGATTTGACCAAATGTAACATATGGGTTCCATGTGTGCCATGGTCCCATGGTCAGATTGTACCCGGCCTGGGAAACGTTTACATTTTGCTATGGAAAGATCCACCATTTTTAATGGGTACATCTATTATTTCCATGGCCATTTTCAATAGCTGTTTGTACGTTTACCAGGCCGGGTATATTGATCGTATACTCACCATTAACCGGTGGATGGTCTTCCCTTCATTCACCGGGAATTATGTACCCACGTAACTTGACCACGGCACGGATACAGTGGGATAGGACAAAAAATCCCCATGAAAATAGCCGATTAATATAGGTAAACAATGGTGGTTGAATAGGACTAAAAAGGATTATATATATAATTATATATTATATATATATAATATACGTATATATATAATATACGTGTATATATATATATATGTACTCTTTTCATCAAATCCCTATTCATTAAATCACCACTTATCTCCCCATTAATATCCTCCGAGTGGTTAATTTCCATTTTTCCCCAAGAAAACCTCATAAATCCCCATTGAACCCATTCACTAGATATGTCCCATTCTTATGCCATTGAATCCTAATTGTTCCGTTATTCTTCTATAGTGATTAAATACATTTAAATACTGATTACAGTAAATCTATGTAAATCTCCATTTTTGCCCAAGACAACATAGGAATCCAGTGGTGATTTGACATTTTTCAGAATCACCTGAATAGTTAAGTCATCATAAACCATCAAACTAAATGGACCATGTTCCAAATCACTGGGTCCTCACTGCCTGGGATGCTGCCAGAAGCTTGGGGACGCCTCAGGACGGCTGTGTTGCATCCAAAACTTCCCCGCGACAGATCGACGAGCCGAGGAGGTGGATGGTGATCCACGGGACAATTTGCAAAAGACCGCCCAAAAAAACATAGGAAACCAGAGGACCATGGTGATTTAACATACTTTAACCAGGAAAAACATGGAAAAACTGTGATTATTTTTATCATAGAACAGGGTGCTTTATTTAATCAAGAACAATGGGGATTTAATCATAGGAACATGGTGAATCAACCAGCAGACATGGGATGTAATATGATTTAAACAACTAATTATGGTGATGCAACAGGCAAAAGAATCTGGACATGATGCTGTTCCGCAAGTGTCGATTCATCAAACCTGAAGTTTTGGCATTCGACCAGAACATATGGAAATTCATGGACCCATCATCCATACCCATGACGGATCCATGGTGCTGCTATATATGGTGCTCCATGGATCCCATCAATATACCCCCTTTATGTTAGCATATATACCATACATGGACCTATAATCCATAGGAAAAATCTAGAAATGGACCCGCAGGATCCTCCATTTCCAGGGACCACAAGGTACAGAGGATATGACGAGCAAACAGGATGAATCTGCTGCCGATCCTGTGAAATCATGAAAATCTTCTGGTGTCGGAAAATCGAGGCACAGGAAATCATGTGATTTCCAAAAATATATGGAATTTTTAGGTCCTAAAACCTGGACCTTTCCAAAAAAAACGGAAATCTCAGCAATCCCAAACGGTTTGTTCATACGGAAATCATGGGACATCACAAGCCACCAGCATGCGAATCACCTGCGAAGGCGATGGGAACCCCTTGTTGCTGCAAGTCGTCTCCGTTTGGCAACGCAATGCTCTCATTCTACACCGGAAAAAAAATATCAAACCTAGGAAAATCATGCAAATCTGGAAAGGACAAATGGCTTATTGTATTTTATTGTAACAATCCCCAAAACAATAGAAACATAAACTCCAATGAGAACAGTGAACAAATGAACATGGGTCTTTTTTTCTTGAGGTCGTCATTTTGCAATGGCTCTTTAACAAATCATCATCATAAAGATGTGTTATAACTAGCAAGTCATAAATCACATTAAGAGGATTTAAGATTATATCAGATCATCATTATCTTTTAAGATGAGTTATATTATATAAGCCTCTAATGTGGGTAAAACAATGATAAACTATCTCTCATATCACCATAAATAGGTGGTATAAACCATGCCCAGCTGCCAGCTGGGTGGTTTGCTTCAGGTTTGTTTGCTTCAGGTTTATAGATAATTATAATCATTGTTTATTATTATATATCATTATCAATAAACCACCATATATTATTGCTTTACCCAATTACTCATAAATCATTTCCCACCAGACCGGGACGTGGATTGCTTCAGGCTGGGGAACTGGAACGTTTGGAACCGCGCGCGCTGTGTCCTCTGAGTGTGGGCACCTGTCTGGGGAAAGTGGAGATTTGTGAAGTTGGTTTTGGTACGTTTTTTTCCTAACGGTATGTGTGTGTATATAATAAAATAAGTGATATATGTTGATATATGTTGATATATACGTGTGTATATTATACACACATATATGATATTGTATGATTGTGTTTATGATGATATGATATGTATGTAATGATTTGGACATAAACTGCAATACATATAATAATATCATATATACCATATGTGTATAATATTTTAATATATATATATATATGCATCGTTTTTTCTTGGTTGCAGATGATATGCATAGCTGTGGTCGTGACATCTCCTTATCTATCTTGACTTCACAAAGGCGCTTTCCGCAATGGGTTGTCAAATTATGGCCTGAAGCAAATGGGTTGATAGGGTGCCCCCTAATCCCATTATCATCATTTTCCTCATGATAATCATGTTTTCAATTTTTTCCCACTAAGCATGACTGTTTTGGGATATCAAAACAAATTGGACAGAACCAAATCATGGGGGGATAATCATGTTTTTCCCACTAAGAATGACTGTTTTGGGATATCAGCAATTTTTGGACAGAACCAAATCATGGGGGTGCTTGAGACCTCACAAGATATTGATATCACCTGGTCACTAAGACCGTGATCGCGTGGTGATTTCTGGGAGAAGGCTCGAGTTTTTTTCGGGAAAAGTGGGAGAAATCTGTGTCTCGAAAATGAGAGATGGTATACCCTCTGGTAAACTAACATAGCTATTGAAAATGACCATTTATAGTGGATTTTCCCATTAAAAATGGTGATTTTCCATAGTTATGTTAGTTTACCAGAGGGTAACTCCACCATTTTATGTTTTCGAAAAGGAGGGAAACTGAGCAGATTTGTAGGATCAATCTGCTCAAAAACATTATACTATGATATATTACGTATCATATGCTATGTCTGGTCTTTGTAACCAACGTACAGGGACGAGAAATGAATCCATTCGTTCTTCAAATCCTTGACGTCCAAAGGGTCCCTGGAGGTTGGTGCAGGTTCTTGGAGACAAACATCTTCCAACAAGTAGCAGCTGATCAAACATGATCCGTTTGAGTGATGATGATTAGTAGTACTATGTTATATGTACATAACATTACATAACTATCATTATTGATGATCATCATATTCATCATCACCACCCCGAAACGGCTTCCTACTGTAACATGCAAATGTTCACCCACGGCCAGAGGATCGTGGTCTTTGATCGCGACGCCAATGATCCAAAAGTCACTTCGGATTGGCCCATCAACGATTTAGCCCGGGGGCCCACGGGAATCTCTTTTTGGTTTTCACCACCAAAAAAAATGGATTTATGGATGTTCATCCCACAACCCATAGGATCCATGTATGGCATATATGCTAACATTGGGGGTATATTGATGGTAAATGTTACCGTATATAGCATACATGGATCCTATGGGCAACTATGGTGTATTAAAGGCTTTGATCCATCTCCATTCGTTTTATTTGGGTGTTTCCTCAAGACATCTCAAGACTGTGTTGCGGCCCCGAAGCAGTGGTTTCCCAACTAAGCAGTGACCAACAGCTTGAATTGTTTTTGGAGTCCAAATTTTTACCCTGTGAAATGATGAAACTAAGCCACCATTTGAGGGTACAAATCTATTTGGGGAGACCGTGGATATTTTCTGGTTGGTGGTTTGGAACATTTTTTATTTTTCCATATATTGGGAATAATCATCCCAACTGACTAGTATTTTTCAGAGGGGTTGAAACCACCAACCAGTTAACATATTTTTTAACCCACAAATTTGGAGAATCTACCAGTACTGGGGAAAATGAGTTCATTCCCTGAGGCCAGGCTTAAGGCACCTCCAATGGTCTCTGGCTGATGGAGGGCCAGATCCCTTATATCTTTCCAATGGCAAGTGTTCAGATAAAAGTGGGTGGCCGTTCAAGAAGCTTCACACCGTTTTTATCTGACAAGTTGATTTTGGCCCATGATCTTTTGCCAGTTTTCATGAGTCGAAAGATTCACCCAGCTTGAGTCAGCTTGTTGTTCAGGTCGAAATCAGCCTGTCTTGTTTATGTGTTTCACATTCTCAATCACGCTGCTATTTAGACAACACAGACATACATATAGTATCATATAGTACATATAATAATAGTAACAATAGTAAACATAATTGTAATGATAATGATAATAATAGTGACGATAATAGTATAACAATGTGTAGGAGGACTGCGTGAGCAGCACCCATGACATCCAGACATCCAGAGGCAATGCTCAAAGATGTAGAGAGGAATAGAGAGGATGGTGCTTCCAATCTGTGAATTTATCGCTAGAAGGAATCCCTAGTGTATATATGTGACCATATATATATATATATACATACATACAGTATGCATTATATACCTATACATATACGTGTATATAGATATACATATATATATATACATAACTATCCAGTGATGAACGGAAGGAGTGGAGGAGCTAGGGGTATCCATATGATAGACAATATGGGCCTAAATTGGAGACAACCACCTTCAACAACTTGGGGACACAGGTTCTATGCAATGTTGGCCGCTAAAGAGAAGGCTGGAATATGGTTTCATTTTACAATCTTTGGAATTCCAAATCCTGTCTCCAGTTTAGCTGAATGATTTGTTTCCTATTTTTTTTAGGCCAGGTCAAAGCGCCCGTCACAATATCATCATGTGATGATTCACATTTATATATCCCATCAAATATCCTCATTGTATTCCAATTATACAAACCCAGAGCCAGCTTGATTGGGTAATTACCCTAGGGTAAACATACAAAAAGATGTGGAAACCCTATGGTTTCCCGTGCGGAAAATTCCCGCGAGGCATTCAACCATTGGTGCCGGGCTCAGCCACTGGCAGCTGACACATGTGAAAAGGTTGGCTAACAGCGCCATGGAGATTTGCCTTAAATACGGGCCTTCTTGTGATCAATGTGTGTTATAATATGTGATAATCTAGGAAATATATGATATATGTTCGATCTACCCCCCAGTAACAGCAGATAAATGATTTTAATTTAACCTATGATATATGTATGCCATGTAAAATGTATATATATATATATGTAGATGCTCAACCATATCAAATTGACCAGCGAGGGTTTAGAAACTGCCGACACAGGAGTTCAATCGCAAAGAAGTGTACAAACCAACATGAGAAAACATGTTTGAACTTGTATGGTGTATACCTCCATCAGTAAGAAGTGTGTATATCACTGTTTTTTCCAATCGGAGTTCGATGCATTACCCTTTGGTTTTCAACATATTGAAAATCACCATTTTAGAATTTTAATTGGTAAATCTTCACTACAGATGGCCATTCTCAATAGCAAGCTGTTCAATTACCAGAGACTACCATCACCAAGCCGCGCAAACCGCGCGGGTTGGCTCGACGGTGCGACAGCGTCTCCCAAGGACGATGGAGATTGTCACGCCCATCAAGAATGACCTGTATGTTTGGGATGCCGGAAGCCCTGGGAGATCGTGGGAGCTGGCGGTGTTTTTATGCGCGTCCTGATCATCTTGTTGCTATATGTTTTTTTTTTTTATCTATAGGATATGATCATCGAATTATACGATTAACAATTAACTATATGTAATTTTATCCTATAATAATATGTTAATCAAAGCATGATATGATGAGAATAACTAGAAAGGTTCTATCATTTGCAAGAACACAAGCACTGTTACTGTTTTCGCGTGTGTATGCCAGCTGTTCTGCAGAAATACGCATCCGCACAATTTTGCAAATACATAAATTCAAGCAATTTTATGATAGCACCATGACGTTACTTTATGTTACTTCACATTGGTCTACTATTCTAGTTTGCGCAATCTTGTACACCATACCAGACTATATTTTCTTGCACTACAACACATTGCATGTCATTAGTTTGGGTTTACCCTCTGGTTTTGTCCCATAGCTTTGGACAATTCCCCATCTATAGATGATTTTCACAATACAACGAACCTACATTGATAGGGGATTTCCCAGTTATGATGACTTGCCTATTATTAAACATGAGCCATTTTCATCCATTTTCATCAACGTTCGTTACCTTCTGGTAAACTAACATAACTATGGAAAATCACCATTTTCAATGGAAAAAAAACACTATAAATGGTCATATTCAATAGCTATGTTAAATTACCGGAGGGTAAATAACCAGAACCTCCATCTGGATCTTGTTGAAACCGTCGCCAAGGCGCTGACTGGGCAACGTTTGCAAATCCATGACAATGTCATTGAGTCGCTCAGCAGACACCCACGGATGGTGACTTTCGTGATTTTTGAGCGAAAAAAAACCTGTTGGATATGGGGATTCTATGAACATGTTGACACTTTACGTATATCTTTGGGGATGATCATAATCCATGAACTGGGAATTCCTATTATAATCGAATTTAATCAAGCAGTACAATGGAATGACCGTATGATTTACATTAATTTACCGTATAATAGAAACACATACTGTACCCTGGTTGCCTTGGTTATGAAATGGGATTCATTCTAAGCTAATTTGCTGGGGATGAGTAGGGAAAGCTATATCAACTGACTAGTATGTCATGGTTCAGGCGATGTGAAGTGACCAGCTCAGATGGTGCAAAGACGGCGGATTACCCTCTGGTAAACGAACATAGCTATGGAAAATCACCATTTTTTTATGGGGAAACTCACTATTTCAATGGCAATTTTCAATAGCTATGTTAAATTACCAGAGGGTATTGGGAAAATGTTCATGGATTTCAGACATCTTCAGATCAGATAATTACTGGTTGGAGACAGTTTCTTCCCATTTTCGCTCACCGCGCAGGTTATTTCAGATTCCTCTTGGTTGTAACACCAAGCATGTTCCTTTCCTCTGCGGTGCAGTGTCATTTTTGATCAAGATGAATCGCTCACTGGGTCAAATCTGAACTGCAGATCGTACATGTACTCAGGCAATCTTTCGATTTTTGGAAACTCAACTGGAAAAATGACTAACATGATTAGCGTTGTCTTTAACCTTCGTCAGATGCAAATTTCAGGGGAAAATCCGTTTGGGGACGGATCTTAAAACCTGTGATTTTCCGTTTGGTCGCATGAACATACAATAAATCCCAGCTATTTTGGTGAGTACTAGGGTTTTGAACCCTAGCCATTTGATTTACTTGACTTTTGCCATGTGTTTTTCCAGCTAAGTCCATCGTTGGTATTTTCAGACCTGTGTTTTCGGAAACTGGGTGACCCACATTTCTTGTGCCAGGTGTTTTGACCATGACCATAGTAAATGGATGTAAATGGCTGATAACACTTCAACCTCTGGTTCCAATGATCTCAATAGACCCACTGCGCCAAGGTCGAATATCACCGTCACGGGGCTCAGAGATGGAGCGCACCTTTTGGACTGATGGGGAGTGAATACATGACATGTGACAACGAAGACCGGGGCTTGCCATTCTCGGGAATGTTCGCAATGAATTTGGTTGATACCACTGTGGATACTGCCGGGCTCCAAGGCCATCAAATTTGGCTTGAAGGAACGACGGCTCTTCGTGGGCAGCGAGGATGGGGAGATCCATTGCATCAATGCAGTCACTGGGCGCCGTGAAATGGCCATAAGAAAAAGCCAGGGAAATCATCTACTTTCATGGGAAACGGTCCATATCTATTGCTAGTTTACCAAAGGCTATGTCAAAAAGCAAAATTATGGCAGGTGATATACTGTATCATTATATATGGATAATATATATATACATATTTCTATGCCATTTATATCCCATTCTATGATATTCTATGGTCATTACTATGTCATGACTATCCCATTCCCAGTATCACTGGAGGGTACTGTGCACCGGCACCCAGGCCTGTGGCGCCAAGCTAAAGGTCCTTAGCCCACACACCTACGAGGCGGAACGAGTCCGGGGGATGTCCCTCGGAGTCCGTGATTCAAGTTGTGTTCATCAGATGAGTTTTTTTCCAAGCGATTGTTTGATCTACCCTTTGGTTATTTAACATGGCCATGGAAAATGGCGCATTTATAGATGGTTTACCTATTGAAAATGGTGATGATCTAGATCTACCCTTTGGTAAATTAACAGTTGGACCCTGATTTTATCACCCATTTTTAATGGAAACTAACTAGTCTTCCAACCAAGATGACTGCCAGGGTCGAACTGTTAATTTACCAGAGGGTAGATTGTGATTTGAAGTCTATCATTTCTTTTGAATGCTTTTTTGTTCATGTTGAAAGATTGCGATGAGGGAAGCTTTTTGGAGCCAGGGCCATGATATGATTTGGGGCACAAGATGTGACTGTGTACCTGGGTGAGCCGAGCTGCGCTCTTAAAAAATGACTAAGCCGTGGATACGGCGCGAAAACATGCGGCTGAACTACAGAAAAAAACGGCTGAAACTATTAAAAATGTGCCTACCCTCTGGTAAACATACAAATAACTATGGAAAACCACTATTTTTAATGGGTAAATCAACTACCCTCTGGTTATGACTAACATAGCCATGATATAGATGGCCCATTTATAGATGGTTTACCTATTAAAGATGGTGATTTTCCATGGCTATGTTAAATAACCTGATGATATACACTTGAGTCACAAGGCAAACAAACGATTTGAGCCACAGCAATGTAGGTGCTCTTCGCAAAGCTGAGTTGCTTCAAACTTCAGGTCCTTTAAGCTTCAATTTGATCAACTGAGATGGAGGTGTGCAGGATGCATCAATATATATCTATATATATATATATGAAATATATATATATAATATTATATAATATATATATATATATTTATACATATAAAGAGCCCAGAGCCACAGGATCCCACAGATTTCAAAGCTATTCACCATCAAAAAACCATTTTAGGTGTATCCAGGTGTATCCAATGACTTGCTCTTAGATGAATATGTGCATATCGTATATGGTTCCCTTTCCCCACTGTTGTTGATCGAATTCCCGAGGGCCATCACAGATCAGCGAAAACATTTATGGATCATTTCTTCTGAACTACCCAGATGTGTGCAAAGGGCTTTAGTTTCTCCATGATGTCATTCAGTTGGTGTATGTTGCCTCAAGTCTGCCAGATCAATAGTTTCAACATGTTTCAAACGTTCTTTCTTGATCTTTCTTGTTTGGTTTCATATGATGTAAAGGTTGCTGGTTTCATTGAGGAAGTGACCCCCTTAGGTAGGTAAGTTGGTAAAAACAAGGTAGGTTGAATGATGTTGAATGTTGGATTATGGGGAATATCATGTTAATATGATATATATATATATAGATATACTTAGATGGGCTTACCAACTCATGACTGCGGGGACCCTTCCTGTGATCCCCAAGTGGCCAACCCCAGGTGACGCAGATCGAGTGCATGAGCGGAAAAGTCTTGACCCTGAGTGCTCCGGAGAAGGCGCAGCTCGTCGGGCATAGGGAGGTTTTTCGGTGAGGATGGTAATTCCCTGGATGCCAAGCCATGTTGAAATAGCTTGAGTCGACGAAGCCGCAGATTGGCCAAATGATGGCTCATTACCCATAGGATCCATGTATGCTATATATGGTAACATTTACCATCCATATACCCCAAATGTTAGCATATATACCATACATGGATCCTATGGGTTATTTTTAGGGGGAAACAACAAAAACCTCCGACATCTATGGAATCTACGGATCTGTCTGAAAACTCAGTTCCCCCCCCAAATCCATTGGTCAATTCCGTGCAGAAATGAAGGCCATGTCCAGCAGAAGAAATTCGGGAGAGATTCAGATTCCAGACATGTTACCCTCTGGACAGTAAACTAACATAAACTAACGAATCATAGCTATGGATTATGGCCCATTTATGGTTTACGTATTGAAATTATTAAAAATGGTGATTTTCAATAGCAAACCGTTAGTTGACCAGAGGGTAATACATTTTAGATCATTTTTTGCCGAGGAACATCCCAAGTTGGAACTTGGACGTCAGGTGATCAACGTGCACGATGTGCCTGGCCGGCTTTTGGCGTTTTTTTTTTTGTGTGTGACCTCAACGGACCTGGCAGGTGGGGAAAAACTTCGGTGAACATGTCCTTTTTTTCGCGATCTTATAGGGATAATCATGAAAATCATGGATTTATTCATGGGAGTTAATGGGAAAATATAGTTCAAATCGATAAATCGGGTGTTCAAATGGGTGTGGGATTTACTAAGGAGGGATCTCAGGATGCCACAAGGATCAGCAATGGAAAATCACCCATTTTTCCAGCGGTGATGTTTGTTGATTAGATCATCATAATATATAGGATAATAGTTATAGTTATATACTTATATATGGTTGGTATGATATAGTTAAGTTATATATATATGATATAATTATATACTGGTTGGTGGTTTGGAACATGGCTTTTATTTTCCATTTCATCTATGGGATAATCCTTCCCATTGACTTTAATATTTTTCAGAGGGGTAGGTATACCACCAACCAGATAAAGTAATGTGACATGTGATATTAAAGTTTCATGATTCTCCCACCAAAAATCTCTCATGAACACCAAACAAAGGTGAGACCCTAGCAGTTTTGTTGCTTTGTAAACCCATGACCCTCTGGGTATACGTTTACACAACTTGCTATGGAAAATCACCATGTTGAATGGGCAAATCAACTATTTCTATGGCCATTTTCAATAGCTATTTTGACATAACCAGAGGGTAACTATAGTTGCAGCTTTCCCAGTGAAAACCCCAATAGTTGCAGCATCCCCCAAGGACACCGGGGAGAAAAAGGCCTTGCTGCTCAAACGGATCGATGCAACTTGGACCGAAACAGGGGCGGTGAAACTTGGGACTTATATTTGGGAATCATATTCTTACTGGTGCGTTTTACGTAGGGAATGGATGGGTTGCTGGGGGTTGCTGGGATGATTATTGATTATTGATATAGTGATGATCCATGGATCCTTCCCGAAAATTCTTACTGTAAAACGCACCAGTAAGTGTTTGGTGAGTTTATGGGGATGGAAACATCAAAACATCACCAGGGGGAGATTCATAGTGGAGACATCCCAGATGATGAACTCGTTGGTGTTAGTTCGGTGGCTGGGAGAGTTATTCCCCACAAATGGAGGTTTAGTTCGCTGGGAAAATCTACTGTAAATGGTGGGCTTTTTAAGCAAACCACGTTACCACGTTTGATATCGTTTGATTACCAGAGGGTAAATCTTGGTTTGGTCAGTCAATGAGCCGATTGTCAAGACATGGATTTATGCACGAATATATGATATCCCGCCAAAAAGGCCATTTCGAATTGGCCTCTGTTGGCAGTTCAGCGGCTAGCAATGGATGCATTGTTTTTCACCTTGGACCAAAAGCTTGGGCGCAGTTTCAGTTATAAGTGGAGAGATTTTTTACTAACCATACCCTCTGGTAAACGTTTACATAACTATGGAAGATCCACCATTTTTCATGGGAAAACTCACTATTTCGGCCATTTTCAATAGCTATGTTAGTCATTACCAGAGGGTAACCCACCACCAGCCATAACCGTAACCATTGCAGCCCCAGATCCCATCGTTCCAGTGGTGACTTTTCCATGGGTGGGGTCGACCGCCGAGTTGAGTGATGTGGGCGTCATTTTGAGGCGCCAAAAAGGGGCGCTGGGCGGGTTTGGGTCGGCAGATGAGATGGGTGGCCATGGTGTCTAAAGCACGCCCAATATAGAAGAGAGGGATATTTGGTAAATATCATTCAATATCATCTATAGCATCCTGGAAACACAACTCTCTATATATCTTTCTTGGGGGTTACTATAGGCCCTATAGGCCCATAGGCCCAGTATGTTCATAGTATGTTGGCGTTCCAACATCTTCTTCGGCCAATTCCAAGGCTTTGATCGAAGTTGATGGTTACATCCACGAGTTAATGCACGCTGATGTAAACTATAATGGTAACCATAGCTGGTTGGTGGTTTGGAACATTTTTTATTTTCCATAATACATGGGATGATCCTTCCCATTGACTACTATTTTTCAGAGGGGTTGAAACCACCAACCAGTAATGGTAACCATAGTCAATGAAATACTACCCATTCACTTGGTTAGGCTTAACTAGGGGAATGTAACTATTGTTAACTAGGGGAATGTAACTATAAACCAACTTATCCATGACTGGGGGACCTCCAGTGGTATAAAAGAAGGTTACAAGACATGGGTGAGGTTTGCGGTGAAAAACACTAGGTTTTTTGAGGAGGAACTAGACATTTACATGACCACATGCTGGGCTGCTGGGCTGGAAATTTCACCAGATTTGTGCTGTCGCCATATCCAAACATGGGGGGCATTTGTGAAAAGACCTGAAAATGTATGACAATCTCTTGAAATGCTTCACTTGGGTGCCATCGGGTTTATTTTTATAGATTCAAACATGGTGATCACCTCATAATTTGGGACATTTGGCCCCCTCAACTATGGTCGGTGACATGATGTGACATGCATGTATACATAATATTTATATAATAATAATAATTATATATATATACGCACATAACCACATAACTTAATCATATATATATATATATGAAACTGGACCACTAAATAGAGTCCAGGTTCACATGCCTTTGTATTCCACATCCTCCATCGGATGAAGATCCCCCAGTGAGCCAATGACCAAATATGTTGACTTTTCAGATACTATCGGTGAGATCGTTTTGTTTGTTGGTTTGTAAACCCATGAACTATAGTTACATCCCCCAAACGTTAACCCAAAAGTTACCCATGTGAACCAAGTCAACTGAACGCTCACCTGACCACGGGGGGGCCTCACCTTGTAGTTGAAATCGCCGGTTGAAATCACCATGAAAAATCAATTGAAATACCATTTTAGTTGCTTAAATCCCCATACAATTCCATACAAATCCCGCTAAATCCCATTAGATTCCATTAAAATTCCATTCAATTCCCATTAAATCAGACTTGAATCCCATTAAATCCCATTAAATCAGACTTGAATCCCATTAAATTCCCATTAAATCCCCATTAAACCTGAACAAAAATCCCATGACTCGTCCTCCCGCCATCGACGCCGTCCTCCCTGGCCAGGTTCGCCCACGATGATCGGGAGATGTTAGCCGTCACCTCCGAGGAAGGTGATGTGGGCTGGTGACCCAGCGGAAAAAACGTCGGAAAAAACATCATATGGGTTTGTCTGAAAATAGGGTATATTCCCAATGAAATAGCCATAAAAAATAGGGATAATGATCAGCAAAACCATTGGGTAAAAAGGGGTACACTATTTTCAGACACACCCATATTATAGGATATAATAGTTATATATATACTTATATATGGTTGGTATGATATAGTTATATATATGATATAGATCATCATAACTGGTTGGTGGTTTGGAACATTTTGGAACATGACTTTTACGACTTTCCATATATTGGGAAGAATGATCCCAACTGACGAACTCATCATTTTCCAGAGGGGTTGAAACCACCAACCAGGATATCTTGGGGGATTTAACATGATTTACCCTCTGGTAAACGTAGAAACAGTGCGAACTGGAACATCACCATCAATTTCATAGGTAAATCAACAGTGGATGGAAGATTGGCAACCGTTGGCAACCGTTGGGCAACTATGAAACATTGTAACTTTTCATGGGATTATAAGGGAATAAACATGGATAAACCATATACCAACTGGTGCATGATTTCTGAACTATCCACAGTATTTTGGGGGATTTAACATGATTTGATCATGGGGATTAGGGATACTATTACTATATATATATATATTATATTATATATGTATTACTATATTGGGGATCATAGGAGTACTAAAGAAAATGTGGATACTATGGGATTTGACATGAATTCAAGATGATTAATGTGGTGTTTAGCCAATAATAAGCTTCAATTTTGGAGGCGTTATACCTGGTTTACTATTGCAGAGATGAGCCAGACAATCACAGGGACACTATGGGATATTTTGGGGATTTAACATGATTTACCCTCTGGTAAACTAACATAACTATGGACAATCACCATGTTTGATGGGTAAATCAACTAGAACTTGCCATTTTCCATTGCAAACTGTTAGTTTACCAGAGGGTAAACAAATTAACATTTTGAGAAATGTTGCTAAAGAACGGGATGCGATGGTGATTTAACCGGAGATCATGGATGAAGATGTGGTGCATAGCCACTGCCACAAAGCGGATTACCATTTTGGAGGCTTCAAATCCCACCCATTTCCGGTAATATTGGGGATGGTTTATCCCATAGGATCCATGTATGGCATATATGCTAGCATTGGGGATATATTGCTGGTAAGTGTTACCATATATAGCATACATGGATCCTATGGGTTATGGCATTGGGTTTACCACAGAAGTTAGAATCGTTTTGAATCTTTTAGAAGGGGGATGTTGACTCATCAACTTGGGGGTTCAAGCCTCCAGAAATGTGTGCAAATTGGCTTTGACATGCGCATCCCACTCCGAAAGTGCACAGAAACCCGACAATCACCCGGAGTATCCCATACAGTGGGTGAAGTACGAATGGAAAATCCTGCGTTGAAAGGTTCGTCTCAGGAGGATGAAATGGTGGTTGGGTTTGATGCTTTGGACTCCCAGAAACCCAAAGGTTTTAAAGGAAAAATGACCATAGAGTGTCCGACAGAATTTCAAACCATCCATCGAAATCAATCGAAATCAACAATTCAACGTTCGCAAGGCAGTCTAAGACTCAGAAGCTTCCAGGGTTTCGTTCTGGTTTTGAGGCTCCCATCCGTGATGCACCAGTCGACCCGGAGATCGAAATTCAACAATCATTGCTGGGAACAAACACATGGGTTTCTGCTAAAATGGGGCACTTCAGGTTTTTTTTTTTTGCTGAAAAGAATCTTGATGTATCTTCCTTCTCCCCCATTTTCAGACAGACCCACATTTCCATGTCACAGCGCAATGTGTTGAAAGAGGTACAGCGCCGATTTTGCCAAGCCCATTGCGGACACGAGCCAGTGTTCCGTGAATCATTCTCAGGCGAATTTTGGTTGATGCATTGGGGAGGAGGTGTTGAGAAACGGGTAGTAGTTTCATTCCCTATCTCCATCCCAATTTTGGATGTTGTATATGATTTATGTATGACTGTATAATACTATATGTATATATCTGTGTATACTATATGAAGATTACAATATATCATATATCTATCTGATTTTATATGATTATATATCTACATGATTATTGTATTCATATATGTGTGCGAAGATACTTATATATACATATACATATATGTTTTTCTTATGTTGGGTTGGTTGCACCCCAGCTCTGATCCATGGCAACACGTTTAATAAGACGTGTCGCCAGGCCGTCTACTGCTGCGAGTATTTTAGAAATGTGCCGTTGATCATCACCACAGACAACTGTGTGCTCCTCAGGCTGTTTGATGTTTTAAACGTATGGGGAAGCTGCTACACGGATTTACCACCAGATATATGGGAATGCGTGGGAAAAAAATGGTAAAACAGGGAAACTGGGGAGTGAGGGTTCAAGGTTCAGGTGGGAGGCTGTTATGTTTTTGTTCAACGTTGTAAATCTAAATGTTTGACTGTTTCTTTTTGATAATTTTGCTGGGAGGGGAAATGTTTTGTTGCCGCTGTTCGTTTTATGTTAGGTCAGTTGATGAGGTCAATAGTTGTGGTTGTTAGGATCTGGGTTTGACATTATTGACGACAAGGGTTTCAGTGCCGTCGTCCGCCTTGCGCTTCCGGTGCTTCCTGCTGTTCCACGTGTACCTTGTCGGGAGGCCCAGTTTCAGAGAGCATGTCCGTGCAAAGCAAGGTGAAGCGCAAGAGCGCATCTGTTTGCATTTCACTTTTCCTCCGGAAGTGTATCTGGCTGAAGCCCGCGCAGTTCGCCCTTGCGGCACGATTCCCCAAATTCTCCATGGCTCGTGACTGCCGCTCCGTGGCCGTTTTCGTTGTGCTGTGGTGGAGCTCACTTGAGTGCTTTGGCACTTTGCCAGGCAACACGCGTCCAACGAAGACGGCTCGTCCTACGCTTCCGGACAGCACATTGTTGCTGCTTCAAACCATAAACGAGATTGACGATGCTGAGAAGAGGATGAAAGCAATCCACGTACTCCTCGAGAAGGTGGAGGAGGAGAAGGAGAAGGAGAAGGAGATAGATGTCCTCAAGGTGGAGGTGGAGAAGGAGAAGGTGGAGAAGGAGAAGGTGGAGAAGGAGAAGGATGTCCTCAAGGTGGAGAAGGAGAAGGATGTCTTCCAAGAGAGGCTGATAAAGTTAGAAGAAGACCTTCTGCGAGCAAAGGTGCTCATGACTGCACGTGGCGTCTTTGAACGAGTGGTGCAACTTGCATTCAATGAGCAGAAAACGGTGGGAAAGGTAAAGGGGGAATGCATTATCGCAAACATCTTGCCAACCATAAGTGATAATCCACAGGCAGGACGCTTTTCGAAACTACTCGTCAGTTCTGCAAAAAGATGCGACAGCACCCAGAGCGTCAAAGATGCATTGCAAAGTGTTTGGACTCAACTCTCACAGCAAGTTCACGACTTTCCGTGGAGCGGAGATGTCAAGATAGGTTCAGACCTGCCTGAGGTCACCAGATGCATAGCGGAGGAGCTGTGCAAAGGCATGGGATTAGAAGTGCTCCCATAGGGAGAAAGCGTCTCTACGGAGAAGCGTCCGAGCGACGGGGAAAAGAACGAGCCAGACCGTAGGTGTCTTTGATATTCTTTGATAGCTTTACTGCTCATTGGGGAGAAGGAGATTGGGTGAGTCCGCCCTCATACCTCAACTCAATGAGAGCCCCTTCAAATCATTATGAATGACCAGAAACTCATGAGGTATGAGCCCAGCCTCATACTCATACGACGGCGACCGCATCCCGACATGAGGGTTCACTCATCAAAATGCTTTCCTCATCTCAGATGACCGTTCCCTTATTCCTGATGAGGGTTCATTGTTCCATTTCGCCCCACTCCGAGGTTGAAACGTCATCCTAGTGGAAGTCTTTGAGAAGGTTCAAAGAGAGTCCGTGAGGATTTTTGGTAAATACTTCAACCATGTTCATGGGAGGAGTGACAATTCTAAGAGGTGGGAATTTCGTATCTCACAGGTGTAGATACACAAGCATTTGTATATATTTGACGCACGCACACACACACACACCCTGACTTACGCGTATTGATGATGATTCATGTTCATAAGACATTTACCCAACCATAAAAAAATCAACCGCCGCCTTTTTTGGGGTTGTTGACGACGACAACGCCATAGGATGAGGACTTCTGACATCGACGACTGTGTCGAGAACAATTCCTTCGACAAATCGTGCAGAAACCATTCGTTGAGCACCCCACCACAATTTTCACCAAAATATGACGATGCCAAACTCCTCAATTTCAACGCAAAACCCCAAAAACACTTAAAGAAATGACGCCTAAAATAACTAAGAATTGAATATGCCCTGCTATATGTATATTAACGGTATGAAGCAAGAAATGGACGAAGACCTGTTTGACCAAATGGCGGAAGCACTACACCAATCCAGCAACCCCCACAATGACCCACCAACCGCAACATCCACAAGATGGAAAACAGACGGAACTTACGACAAGAGACCATTAGACCCAGATTATTTTTCAAAATACTATCAAAGGAAATTATCAACTCCCTTCACCTGCCTCGACTGCGGACGAACAATCACAAGCAAATCCAACCTTTCAAAACATCGTCAAACCAACAGATGCAGGAAGTTTCAAAGCAACTTTTACTAATGTTGCAGTTGTCCTTTCCTCACTAAAACCCCGACCTGCAACCTGTGCCCAAAAACCTACTTAAAGACTTGCCACCTTATATAGTAAGGGAAATAAAAGACAGAGGATACAAGGTTGAAAAATGGAAACATTGATGAACCACAACACATTCAACAATCACATCAACCTCAACATCCCCAATCCCAAAATTCATCACCAAACCTACTTAAAGAAACAGAAGATTATAATAATATAGATTATACTATAATGGACGCTTCACAGCAGATTGTTTTAGATTACCTTTTGTCATCCGAAAAGGGTGAGATATTGAAACGGAATGGGGAAGAAATCAAGAAATTCAAAATAGGTGATAAGACCTACAACTTTGAAAGAAACAAACCCATCACGAACAGATTGAAAACCAAATTCAACCAAATTAGGCAGACTATGGACTACAAAAGATACGAATTGAAGGAAAAACGAGGTATTAGATGGATAAACCTTGACAAGAACAAAGCACTCACAGGCATACAAAAGAGATACAAAGCAACCATCACCGACGAACAATCTGCCTTCAAGAACTATACATCATCTTATGCCATCACAAAAGGAGTGGATTCCAGTACGCAATTAAAATTAAATCACGATCTAAACCGTTACCATCAGATACACTTCAACCTGTCCCTGCCAGGTGTGAGCTCGAGATTTAATCCTTTTTGTTGCTGGATCATTTTGGGAGGATTAAATTCTGATTTAATTCTTTGCTGATGACATCTGGAGATTCCAGGGGGAGGTATCCATCTGTGGGGAATTAAATCTTGATTCAACTCTTTTTTATGGTGTGCGGCTTTCATTTTGGGGCATTAAATCTTGATTTAATTCCTTTTCATTGGGAAATCCCGGGTTCATTTCCTTCATGTCATTTGGTTGCCACTCATGGGAGTTTGGGCTTCAGATGATGGCTGTGGTGGCAGTGGCTCCCCGCAAAGCGGGGCGGCAACTGCCTCCTTGGCGTGAGCTGGAAGTTGTTCAGCTTGAAAATCTATCTCTTCGCCATAGAGCGTTGCAATGGCTGACTTCGACTGGCAGGCAGTGTCATCCTTTGACGTCATCCAGTGATCGGGGCCGGAAGACGTACCTGGGACGCTGCAGCTGCCACTCACACTGCCCCAACCGTTTTCGCTTTGCCTTGCTCGACGCCACCCGATATCATCAGCAAAGAAATTTGGGGACCCAAAGTCACCATCAGTTTGATGATGGACAAGCACTACGACGCTACGGAGCTGGCTTAACTGCCTGTCTTCTCACTGAAAAAAATCAGTGGCTGCTGCGTGGACGTTGCCGTTCAGTCGAGAGGCCGATGGTTTCACAAGGCTACACCCTCGAAGATAATCATGAAGAAGATAGAGAGCAACCAGAGAGTTGAACAGAGCACAGAGGATCCAAGCCAATATAAAAGAATTAACTCAAGATTTAATTCCTTCAAAAGAGATCCTATATCAACTATTACAGTTAAACTTCGGGCAAGGCAAGTGCACTTAACATGAAAAGAGTAGAGAAGAGAAAGGGAAAGAATCAGAAGGATGGAGAAGGTAAAGGAGAAAAAAAGAGTTGAAAAGAGAAGGGACGAATATATACAAGCAGAGCAGGCGAAGAGGGAAGAAAGAGCATGAGGTATCAGAGTCAATAAGAACAGAATTAACTCAAGATTTAATTCCTTCTCAAGAGATCCCATACCAACTGAAAGAGCAGGAGGTATCAGAGCCAGTATGAACAGAATTAACTCAAGATTTAATTCCCTCAAAAGATATTGCTCTAGGCCTCAAAGGTAGAGAATTAACTCTCGAGTTATTCCGTGCACCATTGACCTGGAAACGCAGACAGATCATGAAGCATTGAAACACGATTTGATCTTAATTAAATTTTGCATTCATTCCCTTCCACCGTCAGCGACATTAGAGTCAAAGGCGTCAAGGCAATCCAATACTTAAAATATCAAGACTTCAAGATAAAAGAATACTTAAGAAAACATAAGGGAATGAAGGTTTTATTACAAACATTCAGCAACTTCAAGAGCAAGAAAACCAACGAAATCGTCAGAAGAGAAGTTAGGAGTAGAAGATATGAATTAACAAATGAAGATGAAATCACCAACGTCTTGAACCAAATGGCAACAGACATTGAACATCAGGCAGAAGTGTTGGAAGCGTCGGAGAGCGGATTAGTCCTAACACAAATGGATAAGATAAAGTTTAATTTTGACAAATACAATCCAACTCGTGGGGGTAAATTCATACCTTTACCAAAGTGGTTTCAAAACAAGAAAGCGTGTATCAACATCCAAACCGAAGACAACAAGTGTTTCAAGTATTCCATTCAATGTGGTATATGTAAGGTTTATGAGAAAAACCATCCAAACAGATTTTATCACTACAAAAATTTAAATGATGAATTGAATTGGTCTAATGTAAGTTTTACATCATCAAACATTGATATAGATACATTTGAATTTGAAGGGAACAATGACAGAAAAGAGGCAGTCAATGTTTATTTCCTTAATCCCGAAGATGGCAAACAGTCAATACTTTTGTATAGAAAAACGAAGGTTCAAAGAGCAACCCACCAAATCAGTCTTTTAAAACTTGAAGACGGAGACGACTACCATTATGTATATATCAAAGATTATGACAAACTCATAGGAAGTTAAACCAACAAACACAAAGCAATTTGTTTTCACTGTTTTCATTGCCGACACGGTTTTCAATCACAAACCCTTTTAGATAAACACAATGAAAAGGGATGTATGGCAGTTGAAGGACAACGAATAGAAATGCAATCGTTTGATGGAGATGACCCTGACAAGTTCTTCATCAAATTCAAAAATCACTATAAAAAACTAAAAACACCTTTTGTTATTTATGCTGATTTTGAATGTTTGACAACAAGAACGGGGACAGTTTCAACGAAAGAAATGAAGACTGACAAATACCAACATCATAGACCCTGTGGTTTTATGATTAACGTTGTTAGTTCCTTTGATGGAGCATCTGAACCTTTCTTATACAGAGGCGAAGATTGTATGGATGTTTTTGTTAAAAAGATGATTGAAGTAAAGGATAAGATAATGGATAAGATGAAAGAAAACAAGGACATAATAATGAGAGCGGAAGATTGGAGAGACTTTTGAACAGGGACGAAGTGTTTTATATATGGAATGGACTTCAAAGAAGGTGATAAGAAATGCAGAGACCATTGCCACTTTACAGGTAAATATAGGGGATGCGCTCATCATGATTGTAATTTGCAGTTTTCAATGAGATATTACAAAATACCAGTCTTCCTTCATAATCTTAAAAACTATGATAGTCATTTAATCATTGAAAGAGCAAATGAATTATCAGAAAGAGCGAAAATAGATGTCATAGCACTTAACAGCGAAAAGTTCATAACCTTTGCTTTCAAAATTCTTTGCTTTAAGGACAGTTTCAGTTTCTTATCCTCATCTTTGGATAAGTTAGTCAAGTTGAGCAAGTATGAGGACGGAGAGAAAAAAGAAAACTGGCAAAACAACTTCAAATATAGTAAAAGAAACCCTTACGTGAGTAATGACGAAGATTTAGATTTACTGACTGATAAAGGTGTTTATCCATACGATTACTTCAATTCCTTTGATAAGTTTAGAGAAAGGCAACTACCACCGAAAGAAAAGTTTTACAGCAATCTTACCGAAAGTAATATTGAAGATGATGAATACGAAAGAGCGCTGAAAATTTGGGAACATTTCGGTATAAGAAATCTTGGACAATACCACGACTTGTATTTGAGAACTGATGTTTTACTGCTCACTGATGTCTTTGAAAATTTTAGAGACCTTTGTTTAGAATACTATGGATTAGACCCCGCACACTACTTTACCCTTCCTAACTTTGCTTGGGATGCTATGCTTCTAAAAACGGGTGTCATATTAGAACCATTGACAGACCAGACTATGTATGAAATGATTGAGAAGGGACTTCGAGGTGGAATGTGTCAAGTCAGTCATAAAGAAGCAAAAGCAAACAACAAGTATATGGAAGATGAATATGACGAAAGCAGACCATCTAATTACATAAGTTATCACTTAGCAACTATATCCGTGTTGGTGGTTTGGAACATTTTTTATTTTCCATTTCATATATGGGATAATCATCCCAATTGACTTTCATATTTTTTCAGAGGGCTTAAAACCACCAACCAGATAATGGTAACCATAGTCAATCAAATACTACCCATTCACTTGGTTAGGTTTAACTAGGGGAATGTAACTATTGTTAATGGATGTAAGTTGGGTTTATAAACCAACTTATCCATGACTGGGGGACCTCCACTTGTAAACTTCTGCTTCTTAAATCTCCATGATTTTCCGGATTCCAAAACCAAGGTTCAGCGATCTTTTGGTCGGTACCGCCCTTGAGGGCCTATGACTTCTTCAACAAGTGCCTTGGTCACCACCGTGACGTGATTTTTGGAGTGGGAAAATTCAACGGCGCCATGAAGATACCTTAAGCTGACTTAGGTTGATTGGTATGGATCACCATTTTTCATAGCATTGATGGAAACAAAGGCTCATATGGCGATTCATGGACAAAATAAAATGGTACCTTGGGTAAAGATCAAGCAGATGCATTTCATCATATGAGGCATGACAGTTATACCCTTGGTTGATTGGTTGTGAAATAGGGAGTCTTACTACCCGGGTTATTGGGCATGATGAACTAACCCATAGTAGGAAAGCCTATCAACTAGTATTTCATGAGATGGGATAGGGATATTTTTAACGGCTCACAGGCCTCCAGTCTTTACTAACAGTTTGATATGGGGATATGGGATATTAAGGATCCAGAATCAAAATATTACATACATGACCCGGATTCGGATATTAGATGGTATTAATGGGGATATTAATGGGGATATAATGGGATATCGGGTATATCCTCTAGTAAACCAACAGTTTGCGCATGACAATCCACCATTTTTGAAACCAGTAAATCAGCGAACTAACATGGGCCAATGCCTTCCATAGCAGACTTGGCGATCGCTCTTCAGAGTCTCTAAGCCAAGCAGAGACCTTAAAACGCTGCAGAGAATCGGGACCTGGAAAACACCTGGATGTCCCAAACAAACAGTGCAGATTTGACAAGCACAACTTGGACTTCACCAGGATCACATAGGATCATGATGGACTGTTGCATGCTGCCGCAATGCTGCGTTCTGGGGTTGTAGTTCAGACAGAACTCCAAAACTGGTGAAATATATATATATATACAGATAAAGAATCATGGTTCGTTGAGATACAATTTAACCAGTTGCCATTGCGTCACCGGCTACCGTTCAAGCAAGTGGGATACGTTGATTTTTCGCAGGAATGCAGTAACTAGTATCGGCTCAGTAGTAAAGCCTGCGCAAGAACTTAACATTTTTCAAAACATTTTGAAGATGCGGAGGTTTCCTAAATTATAGGTACATACCCCAAACCATTGGTTTTCCCAATGATCAGCAAAAAAATGGATAATTTTGGGGTAGCCCAATCTTAGGAAAGCCACATGTGGCTCTTAGTTCACCAAGCAGTTTCCCAGGATCATGTTGGACCTTCCTGGCGCCGAGGTGGGAAGCAGTGACCCAATTTGGGAACTGCAAAGCTTCATCTTACGAACTGAGATGATAATGATGGTTAATGATGGTTAATGATGGTTAATGATGGTTAATAATAGGAATAATAATGGGATTAATAATGGGATTACTGGTTGGTGGTTTCAAACATCAATTTTATGTTCCATTTCATATATGGGATGTCATCCTTCCCATTTGACGAACTCATATTTTTCAGAGGGGTAGGTCAACCACCAACCAGATAATATTGGAAAACATTGGCAAACTACCATCTGGTTATTTAACATAGCCATGGAAAATCACAATTTGTAATAGGTAAACGTAGGTACACCATCTATAAATGGGCCATTTTCCATGGCTATGTTAAATAACCAGATGGTATTTTGGTTTGGTTGTTTCGATGATATTTGTCGAAACTGTTTTGGGGTTGTTTCGATCCCTTTTGACCCGATGGAGGGATTGGACGGATGCATGTCCAACGTCTGGTGTGAACGTCAGCCAGGAAACTTGGGGACAGTACCTAGAGCCAAAATAAAGATTCACACTCGCAACAATGTAGTTCAATTCGTCATTTCATCGCAGGTCGAGCTGGACTACCAACCCGGCTTAGCCATGGCCCGTACGTCTGGGTTAGAATCCACTCAGTAGCCTCTGGTTATTTCACTTAGCTCTGGAAAATCTTATGAACATCGATGATAAACATGATTAAACTTTACCTGTTAAGAATGGTGTCCAATTCCTTGGGTTTTCCATAACCAGAGGGGAACTGTGGTGAAGCACCTTGGCGCTTGGCAGGAGGGAGCTGTGAGTATTTCCTCTATGTGTCCGGGAGACCTGGGGAGACCCGGGGACTGGGCGAGAACCTGGGGGACATGGAAAGACATCAATGGCTGGGCAAAAGTCCCATTTTTCCCAAAAACTGGAACGGAAACACTGAAATTTAGCCATTTTTTAGATGGTTTTTATTACACTTCGATTTTAGGGTCTATGGACAAACATGACAAAGCCAGCGACTGAGATAGTTTGCTTCTTTCTCCCTTCTTGGACAATACCCACTGGTGAATTTACCCATAAAAACGGTGATTTTCCCATGAAAAAACGGTGATTTTCCCATGAAAAAACGGTGATTTTCCATAGTTCTCTTAGTTTACCTTGCCGGGTAAGCCCACCCAGGATGCCCTCGGGATCCCGTTCACGGGAAAACGAACGGGAAATGATGGCGTTTCCACAGTCTATGTTAGTCTACCCTAGGGTGTATATAGGTGTGTATATATAACATAGACCCGGGCAAGCCGGCGGCGGAAGTTTCCCAAACATAAATGACCTATAGTTCAAAGACAACCTGTCCCGACCGTGTCCTTCCCTCGACACTCCACACCTCACACTGCACAGTGCACTCTTCGCACTCCAAACTTCAAACTTCACACTCCACACTTCACACTCCACACTTCTCACTTCTCACTGCTTCCTTCACACTCCAAACCTCACACTTCACACTTCACACTTCACACTGCACACTTCACACTTCACAGTCCACACTTCACACTTCACAATTCACAGTCCACACTTCACACTTCACACTTCACAGTCCACACTTCTCACTTCGCACTTCACACTTCACACTTCACACTCCACATTTCACACTTCTCACTTCTCACTGCTTCCTTCACACTCCAAACTTCACACTTCTCACTTCTCACTTCGCACTTCACACTCCACACTTCACAGTCCACATTCACACTTCTCACTTCACACTTCTCACTGCTTCCTTCACACTCCAAACTTCACACTTCTCACTTCGCACTTCACACTCCACACTTCACAGTCCACACTTCACACTTCTCACTTCTCACTGCCTCCTTCCCACTCCAAACTTCACACTCCAAACTTCACACTTCACACTTCTCACTTCGCACTTCACACTCCCCACTCCACTCACACTTCACACTTCACAGTCCACACTTCACACTTCTCACTGCTTCCTTCACACTCCAAACCTCACACTTCACACTTCACACTTCACGCTGCGCTCTTCGCCCTCCACACTTCACAGTCCACACTTCACACTTCTCACTTCACACTTCTCACTTCTCACTGCTTCCTTCACACTCCAAACTTCACACTTCTCACTTCGCACTTCACACTCCACACTTCACACTCCACACTTCACACTTCTCACTTTTCACTGCTTCCTTCCCACTCCAAACTTCACACTCCAAAACTCACACTTCACACTTCTCACTTCGCACTCCACACTTCACTCACACTTCACACTTCACAGTCCACACTTCACACTTCTCACTGCTTCCTTCACACTCCAAACCTCACACTTCACACTTCACACTGCGCTCTTCGCACTCCAAACTGAAACTTCACACTCCACACTTCACACTTCACACTTCACAGTCCACACTTCTCACTTCTCACTGCTTCCTTCACACTCCAAACCTCACACTTCACACTTCACACTGCGCTCTTCGCACTCCAAACTGAAACTTCACACTCCACACTTCACACTTCTCACTTCCCACTGCTTCCTTCACACTTCACACTTCACACTGCACTCTTCACGCCCCACGTTTCACACTGCTCTAAACGTACGTCCAACAAAAAAAACACTAGTGCCAAAATGGAGAAAATCTGCTAACAAACCCATTTCGCAGCCTTCATGCAGCCACTCCAAGACGATTTCCGAGATCCAGCTGCAAAAGACAATAGTATTACGAATGCAGCCACAGCACGAAGCAACCTTGACGCAGCCATTACAATGCTATCTGCGGAGACTGAGTTGCAAAACACAATAGAACTACGCGCAACGGCGTCGGAAATTGTAGCTCCAAAACCGGATCTCGACGCCAGAGCGAAAAAAAGACGATTTTGAAGCACTTTTTAAAAGGATTTTTAGAAGGAAAATCACTAGCGCCAAAATGGAGAAAATCTGCTAACAAATCCATGTCGCCGCCTTCATGCAGCCACTCCAATACGATTTACGAGATCCAGCTGCAAAAGACAATAGTATTACGAATGGAGCCACAGCACGCAGCAACCTTGACGCAGCCATTACAATGCGATCTGCAGAGATTGAGTTCCAAAACACAATAGAACTACGCGCAACGGCGTCGGAAATTGTAGCTCCAAAACCGGATCTCGACGCCAGAGCGAAAAAAAGACGATTTTGAAGCACTTTTTTAAAAGGATTTTTAGAAGGAAAATCACTAGCGCCAAAATGGAGAAAATCTGCTGACAAATCACTGTGGCAGCCTTCATGCAGCCACTCCAGTACGATTTACGAGATCCAGCTGCAAAAGACAATAGTATTACCAATGCAGCCACAGCACGAAGCAACCTTGACGCAGCCATTTACACTGCGGGAACGATCCTACAGTTGCAAAGCACAATGGAATTCCATCGGCAACTCCTCCACCAGCACCACTTGCAATCCCATTTACAGTGAGGGAACGATCCTAGAGTTGCAAATCACAATGGAATTCCATCGGCAACTCATCCACCAGCACCACTTGCAATCCCATTTACATTGCGGGAACGATCCTACAGTTGCAAATCACCATGGAATTCTGTCGACCACACATGCACGAAAAACAGTTGAAACCCCATTTACAATGCGGAACCGATCCGAGAATGATCCGACCATGATCCGAGACCGATCCGACCATGATCCGACCACACACGAGACCGTCTCGCAACCGTCGCACCGCAGAGGTAGATCATCGAGGTTCGGGGACGGACTTTGTATGGAAAAACATAGGGTTTCGTGCATCTGCTATCTCTCAAAAACGCATTTCGTGCGAGACTTCCTTCAAAACTCCATCGGCAACTCCTCCACCAGCACCACTTGCAATGCCATTTACAGTAAGGGAACGATCCTAGAGTTGCAAATCACAATGCAATTCCATCAGCAACTCATCCACCAGCACCACTTGCAACCCCATTTACAATGCGGGAACGATCCTACAGTTGCAAATCACAATGGAATTCTGTCGACCACACATGCACGAAAAACAGTTGAAACCCCATTTACAATGCGGAACCGATCCGACCATGATCCGCCCATGATCCGCCCATGATCCGACCATGATCCGACCACACACGAGACCGTCTCGCACCCGTCGCACCGCAGAGGTAGATCATCGAGGTTCGGGGACGGACTTTGTATGGAAAAACATAGGCTTTCGTGCATCTGCTATCTCTCAAAAACGCATTTCGTGCGAGACTTCCTCCAAAACTCCATCGGCAACTCCTCCACCAGCACCACTTGCAATCCCATTTGCAGTGAGGGAACGATCCTAGAGTTGCAAATCACAATGGAATTCCATCGGCAACTCATCCACCAGCACCACTTGCAACCCCATTTACAATGCGGGAACGATCCTACAGTTGCAAATCACAATGGAATTCTGTCGACCACACATGCACGAAAAACAGGTGAAACCCCATTTACAATGCGGAACCGATCCGAACATGATCCGAGAATATGATCCGACCACACACGAGACCGTCTCGCACCGTCGCACCGCAGAGGTAGATCATCGAGGTTCGGGGACGGACTTTGTATGGAAAAACATAGGGTTTCGTGCATCTGCTATCTCTCAAAAACGCATTTCGTGCGAGACTTCCTCCAAAACTCCATCGGCAACTCCTCCACCAGCACCACTTGCAATGCCATTTACAGTGAGGGAACGATCCTAGAGTTGCAAATCACAATGGAATTCCATCGGCAACTCATCCACCAGCACCACTTGCAACCCCATTTACAATGCGGGAACGATCCTACAGTTGCAAATCACAATGGAATTCTGTCGACCACACATGCACGAAACACAGGTGAAACCCCATTTACAATGCGGAACCGATCCGAACATGATCCGAGAATATCCGACCATGATCCGACCACACACGAGACCGTCTCGCACCCGTCGCACCGCAGAGGTAGATCATCGAGGTTCGGGGACGGACTTTGTATGGAAAAACATAGGGTTTCGTGCATCTGCTATCTCTCAAAAACGCATTTCGTGCGAGACTTCCTCCAAAACTCCATCGGCAACTCCTCCACCAGCACCACTTGCAATCCCATTTACAGTGAGGGAACAATTTCTTTGCTAACTCTTTCTGTGACTAACTCTTTTCCTCACTAACTCTTTCTTTGACTAACTTGTTTCTTTGCTAACTCTTTCTTTGACTACCTCATATATCCTGACTAACTCTTTCTTTGACTAACTCTTTCCCTCACTAACTCTTTCTTCCCTGACTAACTGTTTCTTTGCTAACTCTTTCTTTGACTGACTCTTTCCCTCACTAACTCTTTCTTTGACTAACTCTTTCCCTGACTAACTGTTTCTTTGCTAACTCTTTCTTTGACTAACCTCTTTCCCTGACTAACTCTTTCTTTGACTACCTCTTTCCCTGACTAACTCTTTCTTTGACTAACTCTTTCCCTGACTAACTCTTTCTTTGACTAACTCTTTCCCTGACTAACTGTTTCTTTGACTAACTCTTTCTTTGACTAACTCTTTCCCTCACTAACTCTTTCTTTGACTAACTCTTTCCCTGACTAACTGTTTCTTTGCTAACTCTTTCTTTGACTAACTGTTTCTTGGACTAACTCTTTCTTTGACTAACTCTTTCCCTGGCGAACTCTTTCTTTGCTAACTGTTTCTTTGACTAACTCTTTCTTTGACTAACTCTTTCCCTGACATTCTAAAAGTCCGTAACACGGAAGTTTCTCCCCCTAAACTTCCTTTGATAATAAAACCAAATATCATATTATATTATTTATTTTAATTATATTATTTTTTTAATTTTATATTTATTATAGTATATTATATTATATTATATTATATTTTATTTCATTTTATTATATTATATTATAGTGTAGTATTATATATTATATTATATTGTAGTATTATATATTATATTATATTTTTTATTATTTTATATTATATTATATTATATTTTTTTGATTATATTATATAATATTATTTTATATTATATTTTTTATTATATTATATTATATTATACTATATTATATTATATTATATTATATTATATTATATTATATTATATCATATTTTATTGTAGTATTATTTTATTATATTATATTATATCATATTATATTATATTATATTGTATTGTATTATATTGTATATATATATATATACGCGCAACGCCTGGGTTTTGCCCAGGCGTTGCAGCGTAGAGGTTTCCCATTCACAAACAAATGATGTTGCAAATTACCGTAATTCCTTTGGGGAAAATAACGAAGGTACTAGGGACTATTAAACAAACAAGGTCAAAACACCCGAAATTCCTATGGTAAAAACAAAAACGGCATAACATTGAAATTCCTATTGGAAAAACAACAAAGGTACTAGGAAATTTTAAACTCTCAAATCGTGAAACTTAACATTCAATTAGGAAAATCAACAAAGATATTAGGGAATATTAAACTCCCACCCCCGTTAAACCTTAAATTCCTATGGGGAAAACAACAAAGGTACTAGGGACTATATTAAAAAAAAATGTCAAAACACCCGAAATTCCTATGGGAGAAACAAAAACGGTATTGGGGAATATTAAACTCCCACCCCCGTTAAACTTCTACATTCATTGAAGATCTTCAATAAGGGTTTAATTCTCCCACCACCGTTAAACTTCTACATTCATTGAAGATCTTCAATAAGGGTTTAATTCTCCCACCCCTTTTAGACTGCTACATTCATTGAAGATCTTCAATAAGGGTTTAATTCTCCCACCCCTTTTAGACTTCTACATTCATTGAAGATCTTCAATCAGGGTTTAATTCTCCCACCCCCGTTAAACTTCTACATTCATTGAAGATCTTTGATAAGGGTTTAATTCTCCCACCCCCGTTAAACTTCTACATTCATTGAAAATCTCCAATAAGGGTTTAATTCTCCCACCCCCGTTAAACTTCTAAATTCATTGAAGATCTGTGAGGTCATGATTGGCAATTGGTAGAAAGTCATGTCCTATTCCCAGTTCACATATCACTTTATGGGATAATTATCCCTACCAATCTTATATGATCTTATCCCAACTTATTATATCAAAGTTTGTCTATCATTTTATCCCAATTTACCCGTAAAGAAAATATATGGAAGCTAGTTCATGGGATAAAATTGGGAATATCATCATTCATCCATAACTAATGATATATCCACTTATCATAACTAATCAAATCATCATTTATCCCTTTAACATCCAACCTAAATGGACTGAACATTTTATCGTCATTTGTCCTTCCAAAAGCCCTGGGAATCTCGGACGGAATCCCTTGCCTGCACTGAGGCTTGAGTTGGCCGGACGAGTGCACCCTCTTTGTTGGCACTGACCGGGGAGGCGCGCGCAGGGACGGGTACGTTTCAGATCGTGTACTCACTGTTATCATATGACTTAACAGCATTCTTGCAGTTTTAATGAACCAGATTATATATACGTACTAAATGTATATATATATATACAAAATAGTTATATATATTTTCAACTCAACCATAAAAAAAGGGATTTCACATGATTTGAGTTGCTATTGATGGGTGTATGATGATACAACCCCGCCGGGCCGATACTCACATGCGACCCCACATTCCGGAGTGACTCGTCGCTGCCTCGTCAGCCATCCTCTGCGTGGACATCACGACGGTGGTACAGAGTGCAGGACGTCAACGGGAGGAGATTCTGAGGCGGAAGGAGCCACTGGGGCGACAAAAGAAAGCGGAGTGGATGTCTTGGATTTGCTGATGATTTCCGTTGATTTTCCTGGGATATCCACATTCAAATCTACATACATTGCGGATATTTTGGGGATAGGTTTTGAAGTATGCTTTGTTAAAAGCAACACCAATGGACCAAGGTTGATGGAGATCAAACCAAGCAATGGGGAGATTTTGGGTACAGCCAGATCTGGGCCGGTGATATTCAAAAATGATCCAAAATTAAATAAGTATTTTTTTTTTGGAGGACAATGACAATAAAGTTGGAGATGTATGTGAGGGAACATGATAGAGCACTGTATTTTTTGGGGTTCATATTTTTGAGACGACCGCACATAACATGCGAGTATAATGTTTTGTTTCATTTCTCCTTGCCTAAGGGAATCACTTGCAACATCCACACAAAATAGGACACGTTTTTTTTGTTGTCCAGGTATTTTTGCCATCCCATGCATGAATGTTTAAGCCGCAGATGGGAGTTGATTGGGGGAGCCATCAAAAGAAAGTTCCGGAATTTGAGGATTAACTTTGCTGAAGGTGACGTTAGTAGGCAAGATACCCCAGAGCTAGGGATGTTCTATTCCCTGGCTAGAAAGCCTCAGCGATGTTGATGGACAAAATAGACCTCAATTGATTGGTACGACACGTTTGGTTGAATACCTAGTTGTTTCATGTTGTTTGCATTACGTCGCTATATATCTGAATCGTCATGTAGTCTGATATGCTTGCAGCGTGATCATACAAGATCAAAGCTGTTGAGCCCAATTCACCATGTTTCTTTCTACCATGGCAGGAAAACATCCAAACATGTGTGGGTTTTGGAGGTTCCAAATCCTGACCCATTGATGCCCGAATCAAACTTGCAAAACGAAGAATTGGTTTCCCCGACAAAATGGAGATGATGGAACACTCCGTCAAAAAACTGCAAACATGACCTACTACATAAAAAAATAGAAGATGATCATCAACCAGTCCAACATATGTTGAAACACACATACACACATATGTATATAATTATATATATATACACTTTATCTACACTGCCAAGCATTCATGTACTGTAACCCTGACTTCAGGATAACCTCCCTACAATATCTATAATTGGTAGAATTCTCCAGTTGTCAAACTGGCATTCCGAAAGACAGGGAATCCAGTATCCACTTGTTCTACCATTTTTCTCATATATATATACAGCATCTCCACCAGTTCTAGATCACTTTACCTTGAAAACACCATGGGTCTCCCAAATTCTTTGTTAGTTTACCCGAGAGTAAAATGGCGGAATTCATGGACAACTATCCACTACACCTGGTAGTGGTTCACCTTAGTAATGGCCCAATTGTAAGTGCACTGACCCTACTTACCCTACTTACAAGTTTTATATAACTGGGGTGAACTAATCCACAAACACGAGCCCTGGGGTGAACCACCAAGTATATTATAGTCCATTGTAACCGCAGTTGAACACCACTCATCCCCATTGTTGTTGGTTAAATGCCACTAAAGCTGGAATCCCTTTGAATATCTCCATTAAATCCCACAAAATCAGCATCTTCCCAGTATTTTCCCACGAAATCCCCACATTTGTCATGACTTTCTAAGACTTTCCCGATGTTTCACCGGCAGACCCCGAGGTCCGGCGAGAGGGCCGAGGTCATCAGTGGACGGATCTTCGATTCCTTGCCGCTCGATGTTTTTTTTTGGAAATGATCAAGTAGGTTGGTTTGAAAATGGTGTGAAAATTGGAATAATATAGGATTTGTACAAGATTCAATGATATTTAATGGCGATATAAAAGATTAACTATCCACATTATCTGAACATGGGGATGTGTTATTGTTGGGTTATCTCAGTTATCTCACCATCCAAATTGCTAAACCCATGGGAATTTAGGGCACCGGACCATGTTTACAGATAAAGCCAAGTCATACCAAGTCCCAGCTGGTTGAAGGTGGGTGTGTCTGAAAATGCTTGGGAAATGATGGGACAAGTGGGATTCAATGATGGGATTATGATTTTATGGGGATATAAATGACGGGATATAACTAACTAACAACTGATCGGATATTTAATGGGTGTGTCTGAAAATGGGGTATATCCGCAACTAGCATGTTTTTACGGGGAACATGATGATTAACAAATGGATTTTGGCGTACCCTGTTTTCAATGGTTTTGAGTTTTGCTGCTAGCGAGGTAAACCATGAAAAACCAAAAAACAAGTGGTACTTCTTTTTGAGGAGGGTTTCTACATGTACCAGGCATTTCTGCTTAAATTGGGGAATATGTATTGTTGGATATTGTTGGTTTATCTCCACATTAGGTCACATTAGTTATGTAGTGTTGTTTGTTGGTTTGTTGTTGTCATTAGATCCCTACAAAGGGGATGATGGTGAGAAAATGACATCAGAAAAAAATAAGCACAAGACAACTTAAGACAACAGACTTCTCAAGGGGTGAAACTTGTTGAAACCACCAATCAAATAGGGATAAAATCTGGGCCTATTTGGACAAGTTGATGGAAATCGTAGGGGGACATTGAACTTCTTTACATCTGTAATAATAGATGGATAGATAATAGATAGATAGATAGATAGATAGATAGATGGATTGGATTGGATTGGATTAGATTGGATTGGATTGGATTAGATTAAATTAGATTAGATAGATAGATCAATTAGATATATAGATTAGATAGATAGACAGACAGATAGATAGATACACATATCCTAAGGTATATATTATATATATATATATTAATATATGTAGTAGATATATGTAGATATCTTAATATTATACTACATATCAACTATCATTACAGATACCATATTTTCCAGATGGACGGGCATTTTGGGTGGCACGTTAGACCTAGGCCTAAACCGGTGAACTCCAACGAGTACGTCTTTTTCTTGGACAGCATTTGGACGGTCACCCGGCGGCTGCCGTTGTTTTGGGAAGGAAAAAAACGTAGAGACTATGCAGAGATTATGAAGTTGGATGGGTTTTATATTATCTCTGCAGATTAGTATATAATTATCAATATTAATATTCCAAAGTATATATTATCTTTGGATATTGGATGTCAAAGCCTTCGTGCCTTTGCTGAATGATCAATTATATTAATCATATATATATATATATCAACAGTAACATGTATGTGTCTACCATGAGATGTTTGACCTTAGTACTTTGCACCTCAATTTTTTGTTGACTCTTTTTGACTATATTCACTTGGGCACAAAATTTGACACCAGCAAACCATGTTTGATTACCGGAGGGCACATTTCATAGATGATCCAGTTCCAAGAATTGGTACGGACAGAAGTGCAGGAACTTGAAAGCATTTGGTACAAACCGTTCTGCGTGATAATTTCAAATATGTTTTGTGCGGTTGTTCATCTACATTTGATTATCCTAAATGATATGTTTTGGGTTGTTTATATCCTAAATGATATGATTTAGGTTGTTTATATATATATGTATATTGTATATTGTATATTGTATATTGTATATTGTATATTGTATATGTGTACATTTACTTGTAATCATCCTGATAGTGGAGTTTTCGGTGATGTTGTTGTTCCCGAAACTTGAATCTAGCCATTCCAGGATGAGTTTGTGCTTGGTTTTTCGAAGGCCCATCCAATGCCGTTCCACATGCCATTGATATTAACTCCATTACCATTTGATATTGATACCTGAAGATGAGTTTGATATTAAACATTTTTTTTTATCATATATAATATCTGAAGGTGATATTGATATGAACCATATATCATCATATATCATATTATTAGTATATGTGGATATGTGGCTCCAATGATTAGTGATATGTGATGTTATATTGATGTTGATCCACTAATGATATATTTCTGTTCCATCAAGAATATCAATGTTGTTTAACATGGCTTCATATCAATGATCTTGTCAATGGATTGGTTTAAGGGAAAATCTACGCCGGAAACCCATGGGTTTTTACCATCGAATATAGGGCTTTCCGGTTAAAATTGTCCCATCATCCAATTCTGTGATCAGGGAATTTTCGGGAATTTTCGGGAATGATCCCAGTCATCACTAGCAATACCCTCTGGTAAACGTTTACATAACTATGGAAAATCACCATGCTATTAATGGGAAAATCCACTATTTCGACTGGGCCATGGCTTCAATAGCTATGTTAGTCATTACCAGAGGGTAAATCACCATGAAAATCACTATTAATCACCAGCAAAATCACCATTAATCACCATTAATCATCCCAGCAACCCCCAGTAACTTGATGTTCCATCCAAAAAAAAACAGGTTGAGAAGGCCCATGGCCTCTCCGTAGAATCGATCCTCTTCTGCTTGGGCATCCCAGTTATGGGGCGAAAACGCCATGGAGAATGGGGAGTTATCCCATGAATCATGGCATTGTAAAAGGGATTTTAAGGTGATTTCCATGGGATATGAATTTGAGGATATCGTGTGGAGTACATATATATATATATATATATGGTCCCGTGTCCCGTGTTCCCACCCCCCCCCCCAGGGATGGGGGGGGGTATGAGCCCCTGTGGTGGTGTATATACAGACATACATACCTACAGGACCTACCTACCTACCACATACCTGACCATACCACATAACCAACATACCACAGGCAACAGACAGACATACATCATACCACATACCAACATTACCCCAACATACCACCACCACAGGCCAGGGGGGGGGGGGGGACAAAGGGGCAGGCCAGAAGAACCATACCACCACCACAGGCCACAGGGGGGGGGGGGGACCAGAAGAACCATACACCACCAGGCCACAGGGGGGGGGGGCCAGAAGAAACCAGACGATACTGTCCACCCATACCCATTGGTGGGGGGGGGGAGGGGGGGTGGCCAACGCTGCACCATATATATATATATATACATATATATATATATACATATATATATACATATATATATATACATATATATATATATAAAAGCAACTTTAATCAAAATCCCTGTTGGTTGATTTATTCTATAAAGGCGGCAACGAATCTACCCTTTATATTACATATTGGGGATTATCATCATCCATGAACTGAGATCCCGTTCTTAAGCAAGAAGGATTGAATGGAGGGACAGATGGGGTTGAAAACTGCCCAGGTGTGTCTGAAAATTTTGGATGCCGGCAAAATTGAAATATTCACTGATGACAAACAAACATGCAATTTTTTTGGGTATATACCCTATGTTCAGAGAAACCCATACGTATCTTTACCACGAAAAAATCTGCATTTGACTGATAGCTTTTGGATTTGTTACCATCATTACAAGAACAGGTCAGGTCACTCATGTTACTGAAGCACTTCAGTTTGTTTCAAGATATTTGCCGGTTTTGCAGAAGCTCCCTTTGTGATGAATACTCCCTTTGTGACTGTCAACTATCCAACATGTTCGTTGTAAAGACCACCTCACTTGTCTTTGTGAATATATATATTATATATATATATATATCAATACCATCATTTGGGGTGAGTGTATCTCCATTTTGAGTGCTTACCCTCCATCAAACATGGCTGGATTCCCCATTTAGTTCGACGATTTACCCAGCCACGTTGGATGACACCATTTCGGGTATCCCATCAATATACCCATCAAATCCCATTGAATCCCATTAATTCCCATATACATAATATATACATATCTATATATATATATGTCTAATCCCAGAAACAATTCCCATAGTTGGTTTACACTCTGGTAATCAAACATGGCAATTTGAACATCCTCTATAAACGGTCACTCAATGGGATAATCATCATCATCCTTCGCAAGGCAAACGGCAGCCATCCGTGCTGATGACTTTAGGCGCAGTTGGATGCAATAATGCCATCCCTCTAAAATTCGACACCCCCATTGTATGGTTCTAAATATGTGCAAATCTGCAGAAAGAGAAAGGTTTCTGGGTGTTTACTACTAGGAAGAGATTGTTGAAAAGACCGTATTTTCCAAAGAATAGTTTGCAGTATACATCCAGATTTTTAGACACATCCAACCGATTATTGCATATTATTATTGCTGCATATTTGGGAAGCAGAGCAAGCCCAGTGTGATTGATTTAGGTTGTGATATTTTGATATGGTCCGGGCGGTTGGATTTTCAGCGGGACTTTCACAACTCTGGTATTTGAAATAGAATGTGAGAAATGCCAACCACAACTCCCAGCCGAGGCTTTGACATTTAGGGAGCTTGGATTCATGGACATCCACCTTTCACTGGTTTGTTGAAACAATCTATGCATGGTTTTAATATCTCTACCAGTACTCTTCCCGTCAGTTTTTTTTTGTTGGCGCAATTACCAATGCTCGGAACCGTGAACTGAATTTGATACTAGTTCTATACTTTTACATAACACTTGGATACTATTTGTCTGGAACCGTTTGATACTATGGCATCTAACACATAGTTTTATACTGTAATTACTATGATACTATAACAGTATAGATACTATTTGTTATATAATGTTACAGAACAGTGTATTCTTCATGCCCATTTTTGGGACACTTCGATTTTCTCAGATGGGACGACGTTAGGCGCTGATAATTGCCTCAGGATTTGGGTCGGGGCACCCAGATGATGATGTTACGGATGTTGGGAGATGTGGGTCAATACTTGTTATAAGTGTGTTTGAAGATAAACAGAAAGGTATCACTTTGGAAAAAAAACAACTTGACTATTCCATCAAGCTAATTACAAATGGTGACAAGCAACTATGTACAACATCACTGCTCCGGATCAGTTTCTTGATTAGTTCATATCATGTGAGTTGCCGATCATGCCACTCGTTGTTGTACCACACTACGGCAATGGACATCCATCAGTTCGGAGGACTCTTAAGAATCATGAAAGAAGGGTTCCCAATAGGGTGGGGGACCATGACAGTTCGCCACATCGCAACTGATATTGCTAGCAATTTTCGGTGATGTCCTCGGCGACACCATGCTTTTTTTGGCAATTCGATATTTATTTTGAGAACATTACAATAATACATATAATAATGATAATGATCTATAATCCAATTATTATAAACCATCATGATCCCAGTATCTAAGTAAATTATAGGATATTAAGACTTCTTATTCCGGTTCATCTCATGGGCCACAGGGATCTTCCACTTCTTTGGCTCCCAATCCAGATCCGTTTCGAGGATCCCATGAATTTTTCCTCCAGGCCACAGGGGTTTCCCAGCCAAATCATCCATTAAGGGAGGGATCAACTGATTATAATTAGTATAATTAGTATATCTGTTTACCGATATATATGACATTTACTATGTAGTAGTAGAATTTACTTCTGATCCATTTTTTGTTTGAAACTCAATATCAATGGATGATTCCAAGAAAAAACGCAGACATGACTTGACTACTCAAAACAAATGGATCATCCATTATTTGGAACCCCAACCTGACCTTTTGGAAGAAGATCCGAAGAAACTTTTGAGGACCACGCCACCGGAAGCCCTTTGGGATCCCTGGAGCAGGGGCTGCCGGAAGGGTTGCGCCTTGGATGCCTTCGATGCCGCGGTGACAAGGGATGGAAAGTCATGAAATTTCCATGGTGTTTTTTGGGGAAATCACCTTAAATCATGGAAAAAACATGGGAACATACTGGAAGATCACCTTAGTGAAGATGTAAATCCTTGGTGGTCCTCCTTTATAAAACTTAGGATCTATGTAAATTAGAGTCATAGCCTCACTTGATTCAGTGAAGTCGGGGCAATGTCCCGTGGTGAACCACCAAGTCCTTCTACATTTACCCAAGGTACATCCCTTGGACCTGGGGTGCAGCAACCCTGTGGTTGGTGGGGTCCAAAACCTTCATTTGTTTCCCAATTCAAAATTGGGATGAGAATTCCAAGTCACATTGACATTCAATGACAAAAAGTGACATATTTTGTTGAGGGGCGCTTGACATCACCAACAGTCACGGAGAGATTTTGTTCCATTCTTCGCAGCGATTGGAAGATTAATTAGTTGAATATCACCAACATGATTTTTGACCATGCACCCAAATTGGAGATGTATCAAAGCTATTGTGGATGTTGGAAACACATATTACTCATATGACCAACAAATATGAAGATGACTTGCTACGCCCTGTGTCAGCTGTGTGAAACTGACTGGAAGGACAAACATGGACCAAAGGGTCAGCCCATGAAACCAAGCCTCTAGGTTCCTTGAGTTTCCATTACCCTCTGGTAAACCAACATAGCTATGGAAAATCACCATCTTCAATAGGTAAATCAACTATAAATCACCCATTTTCCATAGCTATATTAGTTTACCAGAGGGTACATGCACAAACGCTGCCATGGAATTTGAATTCAACATATTTACATTTTGCAGGTGCAGCTCATTTCTTTCATTTACACACTGGTAAGCTAACATCACTGCGGAAAATAGCCCATTTGGTTTGATGATTTAACTTAAACATGATGTAAACATGATGCTTTTCCATGTGCTTTTGTATATTTTTTTTCCCCCGGAAGGTAGCAATCTGTGATGGTCGACTCTTGGACTCTTGGTTTCCCAAGTAGCGTCGTGCCCAGGATCTATGAACGCAGCACTGCGTGGTCCTTTCCCTTGGACCCACACTTGCAGGAGAACCAAAGGGTTGGGAGCTGGTGAGGTGATGAGGTGATGAGGGCGGTGATGGGGTTGGCACATGTTGCTTCGTGCAGATATATGCCGATGATGATGATAAATGATGATAACATGTGGCAATGATTAAGTTACAAAGACAATGATAGTAGGAATAATACTATATAGTATTATACAGTAATGATAAGAACAGTATGACGATGACGACGACAATGATGATGATGATGATGATGAACCACAGGATTGTGAAATGCACTATTTTTGACAAGACCACATACAGTGATTGTTAGTTGTGTTGGGGAGAACATCAAAAATGGGCCTGGCAATAAGATTTGTGGTTTGCCTCAGCTGATCTAGATATCAATGATACCAGGCGTTGTTTCTCCGACAGACACTTTCAGAATTTCATATTTTGGCTTAAGTACGGATGAGATTTGTATACAGTAATCAGTTCCAGTCCAATGCATTTCAAGGCAAGGTAGGCTGCAGTGTTGATGACCATTGGTGGATGTACCATGACCCTCTAACATACCAATGGACAACATTGGACAACTCTGACTCGGAATAGCATAAGTTTCTGCTGAAGGGGATTTCCAGTATCCTTCTATATAGTGTCTTATATATAGTGTTGGGTTGGACACTATCCACTGCACCTTCATACACGTAGTGCCCATTTTGACGTCGGCCTCTGACAGTTTGACGTGTCGATGGGACAGCAAGTATTGTGTGACATTCATCGACAAGCGGGTTTGCTACCATGTTACCTCTCCGTAATCTAACCTGGGCAACCATAGTTTTTGCATGTTTTTTGTCAAAGACCATGGTGTTCTTGTATAGTTCTGCCAAGTAGATCCTATTTTCATCACTGATCTTCGTGCTGACCAGATCCAGTCAGACATCAATGCACTGATGGAGGAGCGCAGGGGGTGGCTTCGTGGTGTCATCCCTAAATTGACCCTACCAGGGGGCGAACAGATGGACCAAATCGACCCTGTCATGAGTCGGGGTTTGGGAGACACTTCTTTATCTTCTTTATCTTCTTTCCTGTTGGGATGAGATGACTTTAGTTGGGATGGCAATGTATGTAATGGGTGCATCCTGAGAATGGAAGGATGATATTTTTTGAGATTATATTTTGAGGGTGAGGTGAAGTGACCCAAGTGGTTGGTGGCTCAAGTCATTATTTGCCACCAGGAAGTGATGGTTTTATACACTTCAACATATGAATATATAGATTTTGTCCATGCTTTGGTAATGTACAGTGGAATCGTTGAATAACAACCCGATATGATATTTTGAGGGTACCCTAGGATTCTTAAGTCAATTAAGGATCAATTTTGGGCTACTAGGGCTGAGGGCACCCCCGAGGTTTAACATGTAAGATAAGTTCTTATTTTACATCACCCATAGCAAATAGGGCCATAGGGTTCATGCAAAATCACGCAAAATAACAGATCGTCGCAATAGGATGCAAAAGGCCCCGAATGTGCCGTCGGCTTCCTCAAAACCAGCCTGGCGGATGTTGCCAGAAGGGAGCGCGGCTTTACTGATAGCTCAGCACCAGCAGCAACATAGAATGATCAAGCTGACAGTCAGTCACAAGGTGGCGCCACGAAAAAGAGACACATGCAAAGATCCAAAAGCCAGACTGGCTCCACGCTCCAAAAAAGCCGGACCGGCTCCACGCCTTGGCGGGCAACAGCCAGCCCAGCAACATGGTCTCAAAAGCACGAAGCGGGGAAAGCCCAGCGTTGAAACACGTTGGCTTGCCTGGCTCCAGGCCCCGGCGTGCAAAGAAAGCCAGCTCGGTGAAAGTTGCCAGAATAGATCGTGGCTATATTGAAAAGAAGAGACAACAAGGATCCAAAAGCGTGGCCCGGCATGCGAGCCGAGCCCGCCTGGCAAATGGATCCAAAAGCCGGGCTTGTTCCACAAAATCGCGATAAGTTTTAAACAATGGTTTCGCTGTACCTTTTTTTCAGCCATACCAGAGCCGGTCCTGCTAGCATGGCCTTTCCATCCCTTAAATATCCATGGATGAAAGGATGACCGACCAGGGGCCTAAGTTCTTCCCAATGTGACTGGCGACGGCGTCAAAAATTCTTTAAGCCACAAGCAGTGAGTAGTGACAGTCCCAGTGTAAGAAGCAGGTAAATGTCCGATGTCCAAAAAGTTGTCTTGCATCGGCATTTACTTGGAGGATCACCCCCCTGAGTAGTTAAAACTATAGTACTGTATCGCAAGTGGGCTTCAGCTGCGCTATACATCACTGGCATAGTCAGAATAAAGGGTTCTTTGCAGCAGTTGCCAACTGAGAGGATTGTTTGAGTAGAGGCTTGCTACAGCTGATCATCACAAATCTCTGGGCGATCTTGAAATTAGAAAATGTGGTAAACAAGCCAATATTAAACCCTAATTGGGGCTTGTTTATCAACCCCTTCCCCTCCCCCCATATCCCATAGGATCCATGGTGCTGGTATATATGCTAACATTAGGGGTATATTGATGGGATCCATGTTACCATATATACCATATATACCATATATACCATATATACCATATATAGCATATATAGCATATATAGCATATTCTATGGGGATTCTATGGGTATTCCCCCAGCAGCTTGTGAAGCCCGCACAACCTGCAGGCCAGCGCCAAATCCGAAGATCTGGATGCCGAGAGGCTCAGGACAGGGAGACGACTCGGAAACGTCGCACGGCTGCGCAAATGACAGTAACAACAACGAATTATGTGGGTATGGATCAATACCTATTAATACCATTTTTGGTGGGATGAACATCCATTTACATACCAGCTATTTTGATTTTCACCAGGGGTACAAGGTTTTGACACACTGCCATGTGATATTTGCACATATTTAGCATGTTCATGATACATATGATATGTATGATGTTTTGTTTATTTATCATATATATATAATAATAGTAATAATAATGATATTGATAAGGATAATGATAATGATAATGATAGCAATAATAATACTCGTAGTAATAATAACTAATAACAATAATGATAATAATAAGATATGTATATATATTTTTATGATATATAATGGCGGTATATATATATATATGGAGGCTCAGCCTGCTTAACAAGTGCGCTAGTTAGTTCAATGAATCATGTGGGCTAACCCTATTTACCCACATGGATTAATTGGGGTGAACTACTTGTGACTCCTGGGATGAACCGCCAATACAGCAACACCGATATTCCTTTTTTCTCCTATAGATTAATGCCGGATGGCCGAAGGAAGTTTAGAAGTCAGACTTTCGACAATATGGACAGATGGAAAACAGAGGTGGAAAGAATCAGAGAAGAGAAGAGAAGAGAAGAAAAAAGAAGATGAGAGAAGAGAAAGAGTCAGAAGAAAGAAGATGCAGGTGCGTGAAAAGGTAGAAAAGTTGCGAAACATTGTGTTTTTCCAATGACTTGTGGCTCCAGAGGGTCGAAAAGTGGGCTCGCTAAAGCGGCGGGTGCGGAGCCATCTGGCCAGATGAGAGATGAAAAATTGCACGCCGTTGTGGCGCGAAGCACATTTCCAAGTCAAAAGTGTTAAACACTTACGGTCTCGGAGCACTTTTGGAAGTTGAGATGATTGAAATGGCACGGAGCACATTTCGAAGTCAACATGTACAAAAGAGCGCAGTTTTGGAGCATTTTTGGTAGTTGAGATGTTCAAAACTGGCACGCCGTCGTGGCGCGAAGCACGTTTCGAAATCAAAAGTGTTAAAAATTGATGGGTTCGGAGCACTTTGAAGTTGAGATGTTGAAAACGCGCACGGCGCTGTGGCGCGAAGCCCATTTTGAAGTCAAAATGTGAAAAGCACACCGCGTTCGGGCCACTTTTGGACGTTGAACTGCACCACACCACACCACACCACACAACACCAACACCAACACCAACAATAACAAGAACCAGAACCAGAACCAGAACAAGAACAAGAACAAGCACAACAACAACAACAACAACAACAACAACAACAACAACAACAACAACAACAAACAACAACAACAACAGCAACAGCAGCAACCACAACCACAACCACAACCACAACGACCACGACAACGACAACGCCAACAGCAACAGCAACAGCAACAACAACAACAACAACTCCTGCTGCTACTGCTGCTACTACTCCTGCTACTACTGCTACTACTGCTACTGCTACTGCTGCTGCTACTGCTGCTGCTACTGCTACTGCTACTAGTTCTACTGCGACTACTACTACTACTACTACTACTACTGCTACTACTGCTGCTACTAGTACTTTTAGTAGCAGTATTAGTACTAGTACTAGTACTAGGAGTAGTAGTATGAGTAGTAGTAGAAGCAGCAGTAGTAGCACTACGGGCAAACACCTCGATTTGCCCGCGCTTGTCGGCGGCCGTCTTCGTATGTGCTGAAAACGTGGTAAAAATGTGAGTTTTTTTTTTTGAATCACGGCTAACTTCATGTTGTATATCGGCAAGCACAGCATAGGGACCTGTGCGAGTCTCTTACACATCATCATCATCATCATCATCATCAAACCCTTATTGAAGATCTTCAATGAATGTAGAAGTTTAACGGGGGTGGGAGAATTCAACCCTTTTTGAAGATCTTCAATGAATGTAGAAGTTTAACGGAGGTGGGAGAATTAAACCCTTATTGAAGATCTTCAATGAATGTAGAAGTTTAACGGGGGTGGGAGAATTCAACCCTTTTCGAAGATCTTCAATGAATGTAGAAGTTTAACGGAGGTCGGAGAATTAAACCCTTTTCGAAGATCTTCAATGAATATAGAAGTTTAACGGAGGTGGGAGAATTGAACCCTTATTGACGATCTTCAATGAATGTAGAAGTTTAACGGTGGTGGGGGAATTAAACCCTTATTGAAGGTCGTCAATGAATCTAGAAGTTTAACGGGAGTGGGAAATTTATATTCCCTAAATACCCTTGTTGATCTTCCCAATTGAATGTAAAGTCGAACGTTTGATACCCCCAAGTGTACAGCATAGAAGGGGTGTGGGCGAATCGGGGTGTTCGCGCATAGTACTACTACTAATATTACTACAAGTACTTCTACAAGTACTACTACTACTACTACTACTACTACTACTAGTACTACTACTAGTACTACTACTAGTACTAGTACTAGTACTACTACTACTACTACTACTACTAGTACTACTACTACTACTACTACTGCTACTACTACTACTACTAGTACTACTACTACTACTACTACTACTACTAGTACTACTACTACTACTACTACTACTAGTACTACTACTACTTCTACAACAACTACAACTACAACTACTACTACTACTACTCCTACTCCTACTCCTACTCCTACTCCTACTGCTACTGCTACTGCTACTGCTACTGCTACTGCTACTGCTACTGCTACTAGTGCTACTAGTGGGCGAATCGGGGTGTTCGCGCATAGTACTACTACTAATATTACTACAAGTACTTCTACAAGTACTACTACTACTAGTACTACTACTACTACTACTACTACTACTACTACTAGTACTACTAGTACTACTAGTACTACTAGTACTACTAGTACTACTAGTACTACTAGTACTACTAGTACTACTAGTACTACTAGTACTACTAGTACTACTACCACTACTACCACTACCACTACTACCACTACTACTACTACTACTACTACTACTACTACTACTACTACTACTACTACTACTACTACTACTACTGCGACTGCGACTGCGACTGCTACTGCGACTGCGCTACTGCTGCTACTGCTGCTACTACTACTACTACTACTACTACTACTACTACTAGTACTACTAGTACTACGAGTACTGCAGCTACAGCTAGAACTACAACTGAAACTACGACCACTGCAACTACAACTACTACACTACAACTACTACAGCTACAACTACAACAACAGCAACAACTGCACCTACAACAACAACCACAACTACAACCACAATAGCAGCCATAACTGCAGCCACAACAACCACTAAATTGCAACTAAAACCCCATCTCCACATCCAGCCCGAACTACGACTACCACTACCACTGCAACTGCAACTACAACTACAACTCCACTACTTTACATTACATTACATTCCACTCCACCCCACCCCACTCCACTCCACTTCACCACACTACACTACACTACGCTACACTACTACACTACACTACATTTCACTACACTACACTACAACTACAACTGCTACAGCTGCAGCTACAACTACAACAGTACAACTACAACTGCAACGGCGACAACATCAACTACAACTACAACTACACTACAACTTGAACTAAAACTACAACTACAGCTACATTACATTACACCACACCACACTACATCCAGCAGTTGTGGTTGAGGTGACCACTGCAACCACTCCAAAAACACAACTCCAACCAGCTTTCTGTCCATCAGCGGATTCGCTCTGCCATCCATGCATCACAACAACTCATCTCTCCTATATTTTCCTATCTTTGAAACTTCCGCCACCACCTTGTGCGGCACTACTTGTATGGGTTAAACATGTGGCCCAAAATCAAGCACAGAAATTGCTCACCCTTGGTGTTTGAACATCTACAGATCTTTTTTGCAGCTTTAACAAATGTTACAATGTTGTGGCCATGGGAACAGGATTCAAGGGCATACATCACCTTCGTTTTGTTGGCCTATTGAATATTTGACATACTTCATTCAGCAGTAAAATTGTTGAACATTTGCCATGTGACTCCATGCTGCATTGTTATCGTATTTGATGTAAATAGTCCAGGGATCATTTGAACAACTTTGGAGCAGATCATTTCATCCAATGAAAACGCAACTTATTCTTGTATGTGCTTCAATTTCTTCCATAATTTCACACATGTGTGATATCAAATATCTGAAAAAAAATCTGTTTGTTCAGGAGTTTGACACTTGCCCAAACCATTCCAAAATGTTGTCAATCTCCCGGAAATTTAACAGTTTGCCATGGAAAATCACCATCGTCCGTAGGTAAATCATCTACTTTCACCTTGACTCCAGGAGTCCGGAGGATGGACACTCTTTGCAGCACCTGGCACAAAGGCGGCTGGACCGATTTGTTGGTCCTGGGTAAGCTGTAACGACATCACCACAGCGACACTTGAAATGATGGTTAGTGAGTCGGTGAGGGTAGCTTATCCCAGAATGTGTCAGAATGATAATGATTTATCCAAATGGCTGCCGATCTTTGCAGTTGTTTGAGTAGAAAAAACTGACACCCATTTGGGTTGGTTGTTCGTGTCCTTCCGTCATGTTCAGAACAGTTTAGGCCCCATCTAGTTACTGATTTCAGCACGTTTCCCCACTAACCCTGGTCGTTTTCCATTTTTTAAACCACAATCTACATCAATCTACCCATTTTTTCTTCGGTAGTCTTCTCATTCTGCACTGTTTATGTTTACTTGTTTATTGGTTTATGTTTAAAATTTTAGGTTTATTCCTATTTTTTTAAAGGTTCTATTTTATAAATATACATATATATATATATATATGTTAATCTATGTTTTTCTTATAGTTTATAGTTTAGTATCCCATGATGGCCGGAAGAACTTCCGCCCACGAGGCAAACGGAGGAGTGTATTGCAAAGCTGAAGAAGGATCGGCGCAGGTCGTAGGGAGCCCTCAGTGAAAAGGGATCAGTGTCGGATGGGTCAATGCCTCCATCATGAGTAAAGACCATGGTATATCGCTATATTGTCATCATTTTAATAGATTATGAGTTCATAACGTAAGGTACTTAAGTTTAAAAGGATGGGCTTATGATTATGATATAACCACAGTCTATTCTGTAGTTAAATTTGCGATTATAAAGCGCATCATTTTTGGGGATTAGCATCTACCATGTGAACAGAAGGCTACCATGGTCTCTTGGATTTGACGCACAGAAACTAGGAATTTACCCAACAAACAACGAAATGAAAGAAACACAAAGTTGGGATTTGTCGACCCCCAAAGTGAGGGTTCAATCTGTTTCAGAGTTGAAGTCTAGCCAATGAAGGTTGGGATTCTTGCACCACAAGTCAAGATTTGACACGCAAAAAATGAGGATTCATCCACAACACAATTGAGGGTTTCTTCGACAAAAGTGTGGATTTAGCCGACCCTAAAACCATCCCAACCCCCATAGATTTGGCTGACCAATATTCCTAGAGCGCAGCACTGATGGCAAGTCAACATACGTGGGGCGCAGTTGGGTTTCTAAGTGGGTATAACCGTCTTAATAACCTCCATATGTTGGGATAATCCGTATACTGTAACTATATATGGGTATGGATCAATATCTATTAAGACCATTTTTAGGGGAATGAACATCCATTTACCAGCTATTTTGATGTTCACCAGGGGTACAAGGTTTTGACATACTGCCATATGGTTATAGCTATATATGACTATATATGGTTATATGTTCAGCTCTATGTAACCCCAACTGCACCCCCAAATATACTCCCTTTTGAATCCTTTTGAAATGTCGTGACTTTGGTCCAGTGGCGGCGCCGAGGATTCAAATGGCTCGGTCGAATTCGAGTCCAGCCCTAGTTCGATCACTCAGCTCAGCTGTACAGCAAAAATCGGGGAGTTAACCTAGAAGAATGAGGATCTGTAGTTGATTTATGTTGGCTAAGTTGGTTTGGAACTAGTATTTGTTTAGGGTTTATAGTAATTGTACCTTTATAAAAAAAACTATAGTTAATGGGGTTTATAAACCAAGAAGCACAACTGGGGCCCCTTCTAGGTGGCTCAACATGATTGGAGCATCCCCAAGTCACCATAGGTTTTAATACTAAAATGCTGAAATGTTGGATGATAAAATTTCCGTACCCCCAGCCATTAGGAAACCTCCTGGCATCAGTATCCATCCATACCTGGCAAGATGATGTCCCAATGATTGATCCATTACCAGGAAGGTTGTTGAAACCACCAATCACAACCTGGTTGCTGGTTGGATGTTTAGCCGGTTTTCTTAAATGATGTCCCAATGCTTGATGCTTACTACGCTTATATCCAAAGAAATTCCCAATGAAAAAAACTTTGAACATCATTAGATGTAATTGAATATCATGGAATATGATTAATATATCCTATGTATCCTTAAATTCAGTTAAAATAAATCCAACTACATACCAGTAAACGCCATTGAATCTCATTAAATATGATCAAATGTCATCAAATATCATTAAAAATCATTGAATATCATCCCATTGAATCCAATTGAATCCCATTGTTTTTCACTAATTTCATGGTTCAATTCTCGAATTTCTGCACTTTCAGTGGTCATTCTCCATGGCAACAAGCCACTTCTGAGGCTGGCCAGGAACTTCCAAAGTTTGAAGCCCCGGGTGCTGTTTTTGTGTGGTTTGGCTCGGAATCCTTGGGATGGTCCTTGTTAAAAACCATGGTACTGTAAGCTCCAAAAATTATCGATAGGTAATTTATACCCGTAGTAGGATGATTTTTTTTAATGTCGGGGCAGTTCGCCTCAGTTCAAACGCAGCAAACGCCTGATTTCAAAGCGGCCCCAAAAAATGAAAACGTATGATTACCCCCGTTACCCCCGGTCTTGGACATACTTGGTTTGTTGCAAAGGTTCAACTGGCCATGGTTTCGATGCGCGCATAGGAAGAGCATGCTTGACGCAAGGAGAGTCCAACTTCAAGAACCAAGCGTCAACTGCAATTGTATATGGTAAGATGGTATAGAAATATTTGATGGTATTACCATTAATATTGAAATATGGTATTATGGTATATGAATATTGTACTATAGACATGTCGGAACCTTTTCTTATAATCCAAAAGGTGTTTTGTGCTCCTACATTTCTGGAACAATGTAGAAGAGGGGGGCAGATCCTGCTTCTATTTTCGGAAAACATTATGGAACCAATGTGGTTGATGGTGTCAGTTCATTGGCAAGCAATGGCATGTCATCGGACATCAACCACCAAGCAGAAAGCTCGATGACAATTGAAGAAGCTACCACCATCTAAATTTGTGTCCCTAGAATCACAATTTGATGGTACACCGGTACACCCATGTATATCAATGAAAGCATGCTAGATATGCAGACATGAAGCACGTAGTCCAAATGTATGAATTCAATTGAATTCATACTATATTATACATCCATACGGAGGTTTCCTAAATGTGGGTACCCCTAGATCGTTCATTTTATAGGAATTTCATCATGAACCATCCATTTTGATCCATTTTGGGCCCCCAGTGCTGGAAGTGGTACTAATGTCGTTTTTGGCTTCACCAGGTTCGGTTTTTCGAACGCGAATCTGGGGCAGGAGCCGCGGAGGGCATCAAGATTGAAGTGGGCCTATTTGTGATGATAATGGGATGTAACTATCCTAGAGGATAATAGGGGATACTAAGAGAATCATGCAAAATCAATGGTTTCCTAATGACATGATATATGAATCATCAATATAGTGTAAACGGTAAGTGTTCCATTGTTTCATGTGTATATTAATTTCCTCTAGGGTATGAGTGCAACAAAGACTTGTGAGGAAAAGATGTTGGTATTGGAACAGGGTAACTCGTCCCCAAAACGGCCGAACCTCGAAGAACTTCATGAATTATCATGATTTATCCAGATCAATTGATTCTAATATTGATAGTTGGTGATATCCCTATAACATCTTATGGACTTAAATAGGGGAAACCCTTGGAACTTTCAAATCCCTATAAGAGTTTTACTATTGATTTCTATCCCTATTGAAAATCCAACAAATCCATAATTTTTCACCATTCCTATCGATTCCGTGGCAAGTGCTGGGATCAACCTCATAAAGGGGGACCCGTAAAAACCATGGCGGCTTTTATCTAGAATTGTCTAGTCTTGGATGATTTGGGGCTATTCCTGTTTGAAGACCCTCCCAGATTGACCATCGCACCAAAAACAACGAACTTCAGACATGCAGTTAAATCGCCGCTGGAGGAATTTTCTGCAGCCGCTCCCAGATATTTGCAGCTTGGAAACCCAGTATCTCAATGGCGAGGCGTACTGTTTTCCCTATCTGAGTTGAAAGGCAAGAATCGGAGTCTCAGTGGTTTATCATGGTTTACCGGTAAACAGAGGAAACCCAGAGGATGTTTCAAACCGTTTAGATCCGGGGTTGGAAAGCCAGTACCACCTGGTTTAGAATGGTCTGACACTCAAAGGCTTGAAACCAATTGAATCCCCAGATGTTTCAGATTTGCAATTTGGTAACCGGTACCAGTAGTACCGCACAAGGCGGTGGCGGAAGTTTCAAAAATATATAGGAAACCTATAGGAGAGGTTGGCTCTGGTGAATCATGGATGGCAGAGCGAATCCACTGATGGACCGAAAGGTGGTTGGAGTTGTGTCTTTTGGAGTGGTTGCAATGGTTGCAGTGGTCACCTCACCAAAACTGCTGGATGTAATGTGGTGTAGTGCAGTCGTAGTTGTGTTGTAGTGTAGTGGAGTTGTAGCTGTAATGTAGTGTAATTAGTGTAGTTTAGTTGCATTTGCAGTTGTAGTTGTGGCGCGGCGTAGTGTAGTGTAGGTAGTGTAGTGTACTGTAGTGTTGCGTACTGTAGTGTAGTCTCGTGTAGTGTAGTCTAGTGTAGTGTAGTGTAAAGTAGTGTAGCTGTAGTTGTAGCGTAGTGTAGTGTAATTAGTGTAATGTAATGTAGCGTAGTGCAATGTAGTGGTAGTTGTAGTTGCAGTTGTAGTGTAATGCGGTGTACTGTAGTGTAGTGTAGTGTTGTGCAATGTAATGTAGTTGTATTTGTAGTTGTGTTTGTATTGTAGTGTACTGCAGAGCAATTAGTGTAGTGTAGTGTAGTGTAGTGTAATGTAGTGTAGTTGTACTTGTAGATGTGGTGGTAGTAATAATAATAGTAGTAGTAGTAGTAGTAAAAGCAGTAGTATTAGTAGGAGTAGTAGTAGTAGTAGTTGTTGTTGTTGTTGTTGTTGTTGCTGTGTTGTGTTGTGTTGTGTTGTGTTGTCTTGTGTTGTGTTGTGTTGTGTTGTGTTTTGTTGTGTTGTGTTGTGATGTATTTTCATGTAATGTACTGCAATATCATGTAATGTAATGCAACGTAATGTAATGTAATGTAATGTAATGTAACGTAATGTAATGCAATGTATATACTGTAATGCTTGTAAAAAACATGTTATGTAATGTAATGTAATGCAATGCAATGTAATGTGCTGCAACGTAATGTAATGTAATGTAATGAGTGTAGTGTAGCGTAGTTATATGTAATTAGTGTAGTGTAATTAGTGTAATTAGTGTAATTAGTGTAATTAGTGGTAATTAGTGTATGAAGCGTTGTATATGTGCATTTGTGGCTGTAGTAGTGTTGTAGTAGTAGTGTAGTGATAGTTGTAGTTGTAGTTGTAGTTGTAGGTGTAGTTGTAGTTGTAGTTGTCTATCTATCTATCTATCTATCTATCTATCTACCTATCTATCTATCTATCTATCTATCTATCTATCCTTCTATCTATCTATCCTTCTATCTTTCTATCTTTCTATCTATCTATCTAACTATCTACCTATCTATCTATCTACCTATCTATCTATCTATCTATCTATCTGTCTTTGTGCAAGCTCGAAAACACAGCTATTCTGCGAGGCTTCCTCAGTTTTTGAACTGGACAACATCTCAAAAACGCAGCAATTCTGCGAGACTTCCTCAGTTTTTGAACTTGACAACGTCAAAGATGAAACAAGTCTGTGAGACTACTTCATTTTTCAAAGTTGACAGCATCAAAAACGAAGCAATTCTGCGAGACGTCCTTCAAAAATGGAAAGTTGAGTGCAGGGCTGACGGCCTCGTACCAATGCGTTTTGCGATTTTTCCACTCCATCTGTGTAAAGTGCTGCGCCTGCCACGAAAAAGTGAAGCCAGGTCATACGAAGTGCTGCACCTGTCACGCAAAATCATCTTAGCAAACCTGAAGATCTGATGCTCCATAATGCAACCCTTCTCATGAAATCAACGCCCTGGCCGCCTAACATCTCTGATGAACATGTCTGTTGCATTGCGCCTGCCACGCGAATGCATCTTTCCAGATCCTCTTCAAATGTCCCACGCCTGCCATCGTTTTTGGAAATTTGCTACAAAACCTTCAGATTTCGCTCATTTTTGGCGAGGTGCAGAATCCCTGCCACGCGAAACGATACTGAACGTGAAAAAGTGGTCTGAACATTTTGTGCTTTCAACATTTTGACTTGGAAATGTGCTTCCCGCCAAAACGGCGTACACTTTTTCGACAGCTCAATTCCTAAAAGTGCTCCGAAGCTGGCGTGCTTTGTACATTTTGACTTCTTGTGCTTCGCGCCACAACGGCGTGCACTTTTAATCATCTTCATCCAACTTCCAAAAGTGCTCCGAGACCGTCAGTTTTTAACACTTTTGACTTGGAAATGTGCTTCTCGCCACAACTGCGTGCAATTTTTCATCTCTCACCTGGCCAGATGGCTCCGCACCTGCCGCTTTGGCTTTCCTTCTCTGATCTTCTTTTCTCTTCTCTTTTCTTCTCTTTTCTTCTCTTCTATTCTCTTCTCTTCTCTTGTCTTTTCTTGTCTTGTCTTCTCTTCTCTTCACTTCTCTTCTCTGACTCTTCCCACCGCTGCTTTTCAATCTATCCATATTGTCGGAAGTTTGACTTCTAAACTTCCTTCGGGGATCTACGTCCTTTCGCATGGTGGTGTTTCTTTTGTGAGTCCACCAAGGTGAGACCCAGAAGCCAAACGAATTCACCAAGTGAACTATATGGGGGCTTCCATAAATGGGGGATCACCAAAATGGTCGATTTAGAATGGAAGGTCCTATTAAAATGGATGATTTAGAGGTACCCCCATGACTTAGGAAACCCCATATAAGTCAACTGAACGCTATGGTTTAGGGGGGCCTCACCCTGGATGTTGGGGCAACAGCATGATCTTCGCTGCGATAGGGGCAAAAAACTTTGTGACAAGAAGACCCAGGTGCCGCTCTTTCCGGCGGCGGAAGTGGCGTTGGGAATTTCTGAGTTTCCACGTTTTTTTTTTTTAAGTTCAAGCATGCAGATACTATCAAACAATTTACTATATTCATTAATGTATATTATATTATATACATATAGATATCGAGTGTATGTTTTCTTTGGAAGGATTGAAGTCAACCAGGATTGTGTTTGAACTACCTCAACTAGGAATTTCCGAAGGAACATCTGGACGCACGAACAAACATGAGTGTTCAACTAGGTAGACAACTAAATCACACCAGTCTTTCCTGTTTATCTATGGTATGCTCCATTGACTGGTCACTTTGGAGTATCCCAAATTGACCCGCATCAGAACGAAGGTTGCAGACAGATGCAGACAGTTGGCCTGCGTCTATGTAGCACATATCAGTAAAACCAAAAAATATCAAAAAACAGGGACGTTTAGAAAATGATTTAAAAATTGAAGAATAGTTTAAACACATAAATGTTGATGGCCCGTTCCACTTGTTGGGGATAACAGAGGGTACCCGGTACCCGCATTTTTCAGAACCATTGGTGGGTTTAAATTAGTATAATCCAGGGAAATCACCGAACTGCTTGGGTATGACCCAACATGATTTACCCCCCAACGATGGGATGTATGCACTGTATCCGAAACATGAACAATTTTCTGGGTCCTTTCTTGGTACTCCGCATGTGATCCATAGCCAGTTCTCACCCCATCCGTATACTTTATACTGGTAAGGCCGTGAAACCCTAGATGGTTTCCTTCAGATTTCCCCTTTAATCCATGGCCAGGACTGGTATGCTGGATCTCTGGCTCCAGGTTATTCACTTCCACAGCCCTTTGACCCTGCCATGGGTTGGGGGTTGGAGGGGTACTTTCCACTGAAGGGACCTCGTGGTATCTCATTTTTTTTGCGATTTTTCAGGGTTTATTTTGATGCAGGGGAGGGTGCTGGTCAAAAATCGAACTGATGGCAATTTTAATTTGGAACATCATGGGAAAGTGAATGAACATTATGTAAAACCTGAAAATTTTAGGGGTATTCCCCATTCTGGATATCGCTTTGTATGAACATATCTGGAAAATCTTCGGCTAGGGTGCTCTCGCAAAGGTGTGGGTATGCCCTTGGCAAAACTCCGTTTTCGGAAAATCATGTTCCCATTTTAATCCAGGAATATCCCGGAATTCTCAATCCATTTTCAGATTCTTTGGGAGACTAAGGGTCACCAGATATATATATATATCATTATATATCCAAATACGAAAAATGGACCTTTTTTTTTAAGCGCACTGATGCCCCCAACCACTTCACTGCAGAATCTGAGGTTGCGGAGCGGCCTGAGCAGACCTCCGGCATCCGAGACCAAGAAGGTCCTTGAAGCTGTCTGGGCCCAGGAAAATTGCCCTGGGGGGGATGGGTCAAAATGACTCCAAGCATGTGGAGGTTTTTGGGCAACATCAACACTGGTTGGTGGTTTGGAACATGGCTTTTATTTTTCCATATATTGGGAATGTCATCATCCCAACTGACGAACTCATATTTTTCAGAGGGGTAGGTCAACCACCAGCCAGAAAAGATGGAACTCAAGCAACAGCACTGTGGTCGTGGATGAAAGTATATGACATCCAACATGCATAGTCTAGAGCTTCCGATGTGACGTGAGAAGGTCATAAGTGTTGACAGTGTTGGTGCGATCTCTGAGTTGGAGCTTTTCAGAGGAAACTCATCATCGAACTTCAGGCTTGTTTGGAAGATGATGGAAGATGGATATTGAGTGCTCACTCTTTTTGTGCAGTTGCAAGGGGCCTCATTTTTTGCGGCTTTAGCATATATGCCCCAAACTCGGGCCTGGTTTTCATTATTCCGATTTGTTCTGCGGGTCCGTGATTTTGCGAAAGTTCCTCAGCCCCACCAAGAGCTACCAGAATCGATATACTTAGTGCAGAAAGCAAATGTTTTTTGCATGGCTGGTGCTTTCAATCCATAGTTGGGCCGATGATGAACCCTGTTCTGTATGGTCACATGGTCAAATCTCGAACTTTGACGTTTAAATCAGAGTTAATTCTGTCTCTCCGTTTTTTTTCATGATTTTCCCAAGAAAGTGGCAATCCACAATCTTCCATTTTTTCGAGCTAGCTCAAAACATGTAGCTGGCTCAATTTCATCAGGGGTATGTCTTTGACAGTCACCTTGGGCTTTTTCAGAGGTACCATATCTAGTACTAAACTAATCAGTGGGGACAGAACCTGGCAATTTAACAGATTGGGAAGTTTCTGCGAGCTCGCTCAACTGCAACGAGCTGGCTCAGCGACATCGCTCTAGCTCAAACACATCGCTCTAGCTCAGAGACATCGAGCTAGCTCAATGGCATCGAGCTGGCTCAATTTTTCAACGAAAAAAACGAAAAAAAAACACTCAAAAAAATTGAGCCAGCTACGTCACGTTGAGCTGGCGAACGAATGTGAGAGCATCAAAACGAATACTTACGATGTATTGGCCGGGTTGATGACGGGAAATCGAGCTGGCTCAAGGGCATGTAGCTGGCTCAATTTTTTCAATGTGTTTTTTTTCGTTGAAAAAATTGAGCCAGCTACGAGGCGCTGAGGCAGCTACGAGGCGCTGAGCCAGCTACCAGGCGCTGAGCCAGCAACGAAGCATTGAGCCAGCTACGTGTCACTGAGTCAGCAAGGTAGCTTTGAGCTAGCAAGGAGGCAGTGAGCCAGCAAGGTAGCTTTGAGCTTCATCATATATATATATACCTATGCAATCCCAACCATATAATATACTAAATCTAGGGCAAAACTTTTTTTTTGAGGGAGACACGTACCTCTGAGCTGGAGCGGGAATGTGAAAAGTAACATTCGACAAGATGCTTGGATTTTCCCAAGATTTTTGGCGTATGGCTTGAAACTAGTTCACTGGCGCTGTCTGAAAATTGGGTGAAGACCCCCTAAATCCAGTGGTCAATCATTATTGTCCTATTATATGGCTATAATTGGGGATATCCCCTATTGTATTTTCAGACAAACCTCCGAGGCTCGCGCACTGGCGGTCTCCTTGGGTATTCGCAACAGTACCTGGGCTTGTCAATGGGAGATGGGGTGCCAGGTTCTTGGGTAATTTTCACAGGGAAAATGATACCCCCAAATGTATCTAGTAATGTATCTAAGAAATAGGGTAATCCCAACAGCAACAGCAACAGCCACCTTGATCAACCTTTTGTTGAGGTGTTCCTTCATTCTGGAACAAGCTCATTTTATATGAGATTGAATGATTACAATTCCAAAGGCTCCATGTCTCCATAGGTGTAGAATCTGTGCAGACGGTCTGCCCTAAAGACCCTAGAAGACACTAAAACTATAGAACTGATTCTTTCTTTGGGGTCCAAGAATGGTAGTTTGAACTTGAAGTTGCATAAACTCCGAAAAGATGACACAAGAAGCAGAGATACACGAAATCAGACTTCGCAGAATTGGTACTGGTAGTGAACATGAAATGAACCTCACACAATAACAACCCAAATGATGGATATTAGACCGTATTGCGGTTGTGAACAGTAAGCAGCACGAGGGGGAACCGCTCCTTGAACATCGGTGAACAGAACACTTCACAAGATGATGGACTGGTAGCTACACGCACTGAACAGCAAATCCATCCTCCAATGGAAGAAAGACTACTACTACTACTGCTACTACTACTACTGCTACTACTGCTACTACTACTACTACTACTACTAATACTATTACTACTACTACTACTACTACTACTACTACTACTACTACTCCTGCTACTACTACTACTACTACTACTACTGATCTACTACTGCTACTACTGCTACTACTGCTACTACTCTTACTGCTACTACTGCTACTACTACTACTGCTACTACTACTCCTCCTACTACTACTACTACTACTACTACTGATCTACTACTGCTACTACTGCTACTACTGCTACTACTACTACTGCTACTACTGCTACTACTGCTACTACTACTGCTACTACTGCTACTACTACTACTGCTACTACAGCTACTACTGCTGCTACTACTGCTACTACTACTGCTACTACTACTGCTACTACTGCTACTACTACTACTACTACTACTCCTACTACTCCTACTACTACTACTACTTCTACTACTACTACTACTACTACTACGATTATTGTTTTTTTCTTTCTTGCATGACTTGCAATAGCCTTTATTTACTGGAAACTCATCACGCCCCAGACAAGAACAAGCTAACGTGTAATCCAAGTGGCCTCCAGTTTTGGGAGAGGGCCTCCCTGCTTTCAGTGGTTTGAAGAGAACTTGCAGAATGCCCCATCCGCAGATGGTAGGGGCATGTAAAAGACATAAGTTCTGCATCGTTTTCCTGAAAAGTGATATCCTTTTGAATTTCGCAGGTGCCAAAAACTGCCTCGGACCCGTTGCTGTAGCCGTTTGAGGCCATGATGTTCTGACACCCTGAGTGTGAGGGTGGGGCAGATCTGAAAATTGTTTTCGTGTTTGAAACATCGAACATATGGGTGTGCCTGAACATGAGGTATACCCCACATGGATCCAAAAAGCAAAATCGATAGGACTGAGTGAGACAAGTTTTTCATAGGGAATAATATTAGTAATTATATGGGTACTCTTCCTCCGGTATTCAAACATGGCAATGGTACCCATCGGTAATCAAACATGGCAATGGAAACTCCACCACTTTGATCCATTTAGTTCGATGAGTTTTCCGTAACGCTGTGTCTATGGTGGTTGGATTGTCCATGCTAAAAAAAACACATGGGAACAGGTTCATTGGATCAGGAGCCTCCGGAAGCCGTTAAGGTGATAAGGTGGCCGTTCTCAAAGTTTTTCTTCAGTCTTGAAGCAACTTCTTCGTACAGCCCTGGTGACCCTGGTGACGCTTAAAATGGATCCCATCGCTCCAATGCCCCAGCTTCACAAGGTTTCACCCTTAGTCAAAGGCTCCCCGTCCATAGAGGGACTCGCTGAAAGCGAGTGTGACCGTGGCGGTGGCTAAAAGAAGCGAGTGAAAGTCGGAGCATTGGATCCATTGAAATCATTTTGAAATCTACGGAATTTTACGCTTTTGCGGCCAAGGGATGGGTGTTGCTGTGGTTTGTTGTGGATGGCATTGGAAGAATTTCACAGATTCCAAAGTCTGAACTGCCCCATGGATTTGTTTATATCTGGTTGGTGGTCTGAAACATGATTTTTTTCCATAGATTGGGAATTTCATCATCCCAACTGACGAACTCATATTTTTCAGAGGGATAGGTATACCACCAACCAGTTATATTTATGAAAACTCACCATTTTTAGTGGGTAAATCAACTATAAATGAGCATTTTCAATAGCTATGTTGGTTTACCAGAGGGTATTCGCATCTTTGAAAGCGACGTTTTTTTCGATGCTCCATGGACGCTCGGGGATTCAAACTTCAACGAAGGGTCGCTGCGTTCAGTCTGATGGAAAGTGGACACTGGCGGTGCTTCTTTCATTCGGGGATGATCATCAATCCCTTCATAGGGATATACAATGATACATATATATAATAAATAGCCATTACGTCATTACGTTTGGATTTCCAATATGGGACGGAGGACCATACCCCATATACCAAGATACCATATATATATACATACACCATGTTTTGACCACGGCACATCTGCTTTCAGACCAGTTGGTGCCATGGGGTGTGGCTGACCCCGATTCAATCTCACACGCAAGCGTTGGCAGGAGATGCGAGATATGGATATTCCAATGGATGTGACTCAGATGCCGCGGTTTACCCTCTGGTAATGTAACACTTCACTATAGTTCGCTACTGGAAATGGCCATTTTGGTTCGTTGATTTCCCTATGAAACATGGTGATTTTCCATAGCTACTAAATGTGAGTTTACCAGAGGGTATCTTAGTTGAGGGGGATTGGAACAGCAATAGATGGGATTATATGATATTATAATATATTATATACCCTTCGTTAATCAAACATGGCGCTGGAAAAAACATCCTCATCAAAAACGGGAATAGAAACTCGGAGAGATAGGGCAACTGTACTTAAAAATCTCTGAATTTGAGATGTTCCATTGCCAGTGTCGTTTTAGGATGGTGATGAGAAACCACAGTCGTTAGCTGTGACTTTCACCTTAAGGGACCTTGCTGCACCAGAAAACAAAAAGGGGAGAACGAGCCCCGATTCTCGAATCATGTTTGGAAAAATGTTCCATTCCATTAAGGGATGATGCTTAGTGCTCCCTCAAGGAGCTACTTAGTGTATCTTAGTGTAGTTTTATGATGTTCTATAGTAGTTACTACTATATTGATCTAGTCACCATTTGAATCCAATTTGAATTATCCCACTAACGATCATGAATTCAATTTAATTCATGGTCCACGAGCTTGCGTAGCAGCATGTTGCACATGGCCTTCTAGAGAGTGACCATTTCACTTGCTTCCAATCAGTTGATATTTCCACTTGAGCAGTATCCAAAATGTATTTGTTCTACTGGTTGCTGTATGGGGATGTTCATTTTCCATACTTGTCAAATCTAAATGATGTAGTTTTTCTTTCCCACAATTTTATTAGTCACTTAGACACAGATCCTTAAAATATCGATATTAAGACGGTTGCGTGAGCTGGCTTAGCTCCTCGACTTGCCAAATTTGGTGTCCTTTCAGGTCATCTCCTATAGTGTGGCCTTTAGGGCTGCAGATAGTTGGGAGCTGGCCTTGCAATTCATGCTGGGCACTTAGAGTTTTGTGGGGCTTGGATGATTTCCGAGGGGAAGTCCGCGATTTTTGTTGGGAAATCTTGTTTTTTGCCTTGGCAACACGCAACTTCTTGTGGTGTTGAAAGGCTGTGTACCAAGGGGGTAATCCGATGAAGAGTATGATATATACCGGGATATTATATGATATGAATTTATTGAATTTCAATTTGTATGTATATATATATATATATGTGATATATATAATATATGATATATAATATTTAATCTATAGTAGATATATATATTATATATATATATATATTTGTACAATATTATGTTGTACAATATATTATATAATATATATATATATTGTTTATTATATATTATATATTATTTATTTTATATTATATAATATATATATATATTATATGTTCTATAATATATTTTATGTATTATATATAATATATTATATATATTTTATATATATTATATATATTATATATATGTATTATATTATATATATGTTATATGTTATATATAAGATGTTATATATATATATATATATATTATATTATATGGTATTTGTTTTATATTATATTATATATATATATTTTAATATATATAATAGAATATATGTTATATCATATATATTATAATATATATATATAAATATATTATAATATATATATATACACATATTGTCCGAGCTATTCGTCATTATCGTGCAATGCCCATCCTTTGTGTCATGTTTTTCCCTCTCCGGTTGTCTCTCTTTAGCCATGTCTGGCAAGATTTGTTCAGGGTCTGCTACACTGCCAATGTTTGTTCATCACAGCATATTTATTGGCTTCATAAATGTTTGACCTCCAAGATATTGGATGGTTTGAGTCTATCAGTGGATTTGTTGAAGGCAAAATATGCAGGAAACCCGTAGATTTTGCCACAGATTAAGACAGAAACCACTCCATTGAACGTCCCTTTGATGATTGTCACTTGCTAATGTTTGATGGTTAGATCCCAATGTGTGCTGATTAGACCATATTACATATTTTTCCTACTTAAGCCTGCTTGTTTATTGGTTTCACACCCAGAATGCCCCGTTATTCCCGCCTTTTCGCGATGTTTTTCCACAGTGGATTATCCATAAAAGGCCCCGAAACAACTGATACAGCAACAGGGGATGGGAAAAACTGATAAGCAAAGACTTCAAAGTCTGAAAACTAACTTAGATTACTAAGAAAAAAAATTGGACAACGTCTTCCTCCAAGATTTTTTTGCAACTGGTTGTTTAATGGCTCCAAAAAAACAGGTCGGAGATGGATGCGAAGTCCATCATGGCGGACAATATCGTCTTTGGCGTTCCGGAGACCCAGCTCATGAGGTCGTTACCAATAGGCTGGAGCGCCTACACCACATGGGATATGTACTCAGAAGTCCATGGGCGTCTATAGCTTCGTATATATATATATATGTATATATATATGTATATATATATATATACACAATTCTAGTTATATAGTGTTGTATAACTTACTAGACTATACCAGATAGTTCATTACTTCATGGCTATACTTTATCATATGAATTAATTTTCCATACCGGGGAATACTTTACCATACATAAGCCGCAGCTCGCCACAGCGGTGCTGAGGCTGCCATTGCAGCATGCGACCGTGGCAGGAACCTTCCTCTAGCGCTGAGGTGATTTGAATGAGGGAGGGGATACCCTCCATTACCCTCCGGCAATCAAACATGGCAATGGAAAGTTGCAAATGGAGGTTTTATTTTAAATTCCCCATTTAGTTTGAAGAGTTTTCTAGCTACAAACTGCCATTGGTTCGGGAATCTTCCAGCTGGCAGTCAATGTTCGATGACGCCGGAGGGTAACTGCAGTAACTGCATGTAATGGTAATGTTCATGTGAAGATGATGATTACCATCGCTCCAATTTAACATGACCCTGCCATGAGTTGAGGGTTGGAAGAATTGGGGCATTTTCAGGTTCGAACGTTCGAACTGTTAGTTTGGGGGAGGGTCTATAGCCGCTATAGCCATTGGATTTGGGATACCCTCTGGTAATATAAGTTTGCTGTCGGAAATCATCATTTTTTTTAAGTCGGTAAGTCACGGTAAGTCATCGACCTAAATCGGCAATTTTTCCATAAACTCCACATTTTGTCCTGCCAAACGTGTTGTTCTTTGGGCAAAGCAGTTCTTCACAATGTTGGGCGTTGGTTTGGTAGGTGAACAGATCGACGAGCGCATTTTTTGGTCATACATTTACGGCAATTTACAGTTATAAGTCAATTATAACCCTATTTATGGAATGATAACCTTATTTATAACCATACATAGCTGGTAAAGGGGCTTGTTGAATCAGTGTCATCGTTGAAGTTGAGGTCTTGGTTATGATAGCATTGGGCCGTTTCCTTTTTCTTGCCATCCCCAAATCATAGATCCAATGTTTAAACCGATAGAGCGAATACCTTCAGTAACTATGTGTCATCTCATCTGGTTGGTGGTTTGGAACATGAATTTTATTGTTCCATATATTGGGAATAATAATATATAATCCCAACTGACCTTGATATTTTTCAGAGGGGTTGAAACCACCAACCAGTTATTATCGGAGAATGGACGACTATCAACTTTCATGATGGAAAATCAAACTGTAGTAACCATAGTAACCATAGCCATGAACCATAGCATTTTACTTCACTCACAGAATTGGTCGAAGGAAAAATCTGCCGGAAGAAGCTGATCTTTGGAGTTACATGTCGCCTCCTTCGTGTC